TCGGGCTCCTACCGGCGCCAGGATGGGCTTATGCTTAGGGGGGATGGAAAAAGGGAAAGGGAGACTTTTGTCGAGAACATCACCTTGCACTTTGCGGGTTTCACTACCAACACCCCCTTTCCGTCGGGGAACAGACCGTTGATTTATTTCGCCATGTTGAAGTGCATTCCTTTGTTTCGAGCCTGCAACAGGCAGGTGGGTGGGGTAAGGGCGAACTGGGACTACCACGCCCAGACGATGTTTCGCTTGCCCGCATCTAAAACTTTTACGGGACGCAAACCCACATTTTCCTACACACACTCACAGACTGAAAACACAAAGGACATGTTGTGTACTGACAAGACATGATGTGTAGGGTGTTGTTACTTGTTGGGCACAGTACACACCTGACACACTTCAGTACATTCTTGCCATTCCAAAAATTTTCTTTTCAACTACACAGTAGCAGTTAGCACATTACACTCTTTGGTAGTAATAATACTTGCTACATGTTGTGTGAATTAGTAGTTGTTTAGTTCATCTAACATCACTTGAAGTGGCACTAGATAGCTGATAGTGTGATACTGAAAAGGTTGTTAAACATTGTTTCAGTTTAGTACCAGTTGTGTTGTGAAATGTTTACACACTCACTTCAGCTGCTGTCTCCCCATCTATTGTTGGTGCTAGAAATGTTTGTCAGTAGTTACACCCTTACAACTGCTGTCTCTGCATCTATTGTTGGTGCTAGAAATGTTTGTCAGTAGTTACACCCTTACAACGGCTGTCTCCCCATCTATTGTTGGTGCTAGAAATGTTTGTCAGTAGTTACACCCTTACAACTGCTGTCTTCGCATCTAATGTTAGTGCTAGAAATATGTTTGTCAGTAGTTACACACTCAAAACTAGTGTCTCCCCATCTATTGTTGGTGCTAGAAATGTTTGTCATTAGTTACACCCTTACAACTGCTGTCTATTGTTGGTACTAGAAGTGTTTGTCATTAGTTACACTTACACCCTTACAACTGCTGTCTATTGTTGGTACTTGAAGTGTTTGTCAGTAGTTACACTTACACCCTTACAACTGCTGTCTCCCCATCTATTGTTGGTACTTGAAGTGTTTGTCAGTAGTTACACTTACACCCTTACAACTGCTGTCTATTGTTGGTACTTGAAGTGTTTGTCAGTAGTTACACTTACACCCTTACAACTGCTGTCTATTGTTGGTGCTAGAAATGTTTGTCAGTAGCTACACTTACATGAAATGTTTGTCAGTAGTTACACTTACATGAAATGTTTGTCAGTAGTTACACTTACATGAAATGTTTGTCAGTAGTTACACTTACATGAAATGTTTGTCAGTAGTTACACTTACATGAAATGTTTGTCAGTAGTTACACTTACATGAAATGTTTGTCAGTAGTTACACTTACATGACAATGTGTTGTCATTGTTACACTACTTGAAGTGTTTGTCAGTAGTTACACTTACACTCTTACAAAAAAAAACTGCTGTCAGTAGTTATTGTTTGGTACTTGAAATGTTTGTCAGTAGTTACACTTACACCCTTACAACTGCTTGTCAGTAGTTACACTTACATGAAATGTTTGTCAGTAGTTACACCCTTACAACTGCTGTCTCCCCATCTATTGTTGGTACTAGAAGTGTTTGTCAGTAGTTACACTTACACTCTTACAACTGCTGTCTCTGATTCATCATAAATGACAAACCACTTCAGCATTGTGGGTGGGGTCAGTTTGCTATCCAGTTGCCAGGCTAGGGTGTGTAAAGTGCCTGTAATGTTGCCAGGCTAGGGTGTGTAAAGTGCCTGTAATGTTGCCAGGCTAGGGTGTGTAAAGTGCCTGTAATGTTGCCATGCTAGGGTGTGTAAAGTGCCCGTAATGTTGCCATGCTAGGGTGTGTAAAGTGCCCGTAATGTTGCCAGGCTAGGGTGTGTAAAGTGCCTGTAATGTTGCCAGGCTAGGGTGTGTAAAGTGCCCTGTAATGTTGCCAGGCTAGGGTTGTGTAAAGTGCCTGTAATGTGCCATGCTAGGGTGTGTAAAGTGCCTGTTAATGTTGCCAGGCTAGGGGTGTGTAAAGTGCCTGTAATGTTGCCAGGCTAGGGTGTGTAAAGTGCCTGTAATGTTGCCATGCTAGTGTGTGTAAAGTGCCTGTAATGTTGCACATGCTAGGGTGTGTAAAAGTGCCTGTAATGTTGCCATGCTATGGTGTGTAAAGATGCCTGTAATGTTTGTCAGGCTAGGGTGTGTAAAGTGCCTGTAATGTTTCCAGGCTAGGGTGTGTAAGTGCGTGTAATGTTGCAATGCTAGGGTGTGTAAAGTGCCTGTAATGTTGCCAGGCTAGGGTGTGTGAAGTGCCTGTAATGTTTTGCCATGCTTAGGGTGTGTAAAGTGCTGTAATGTTGCCATGCTAGGGTGTGTAAAGTGCCTGTAATGTTGCCATGCTAAGGTGTGTAAAGTGCCTGTAATGTTGCCAGGCTAGGGTGTGTAAAGTGCCTGTAATGTTGCCATGCTAGGGTGTGTAAAGTGCCTGTAATGTTGCCATGCTAGAGTGTGTAAAGTGCCTGTAATGTTGCCATGCTAGAGTGTGTAAAGTGCCTGTAATGTTGCCATGCTAGGGTGTGTAAAGTGCGTGTAATGTTGCCATGCTAGGGTCTGTAAAGTGCCTGTAATGTTGCCATGCTAGGGTGTGTAAAGTGCCTGTAATGTTGCCAGGCTAGGGTGTGTAAAGTGCCCGTAATGTTGCCAGGCTAGGGTGTGTAAAGTGCCCGTAATGTTGCCAGGCTAGGGTGTGTAAAGTGCCTGTAATGTTGCCAGGCTAGGGTGTGTAAAGTGCCTGTAATGTTGCCAGGCTAAGGTGTGTAAAGTGCCTGTAATGTTCCATGCTAGGGTGTGTAAAGTGCCTGTAATGTTGCCATGCTAAGGTGTGTAAAGTGCCTGTAATGTTGCCAGGCTAGGGTGTGTAAAGTGCCTGTAATGTTGCCAGGCTAGGGTGTGTAAAGTGCCTGTAATGTTGCCAGGCTAGGGTGTGTAAAGTGCCTGTAATGTTGCCAGGCTAGGGTGTGTAAACTGCCTGTAATGATGTTGTTTCGTGGCAGTCCTCTTGCTGCTGCTGATCTTCTGAGATGTAGTGCATGTGATGGTATTTGATGTTGCAGCATTCTAACAAGATGGCCAAACCACTTGATCTTCTGTATCTCAATCTAGATGTTCCTTTCACAAACTAACAGTATCATTGTTCATTTGGTCTTGGTTGGTTAAGTGGATGGATTTTCTCAGGCATCTCATCAGATATTGATTTTACATACAACGTCCATGTTTGGCTGTGATAGCTTCATGTTGCAAAAAATATGCTTTTTATAATCTTTGCCTTTATAGTTATGTTTGGATGTCCTAATAATAGTGACATATAAGGGCACTTGCTTTCTTTTCTGACTTCTGTTTCTCTGTCATTTCTGCTGTCTTCTGTGAATGCACTTTCTTCCCGTGTGGCTCTAGGGTCCCCATTGTGAGGTCCCTTTGTTCCCGTGTGGCTCTAGGGTCCCCATTGTGAGGTGCCTCTGTTCCCGTGTGGCTCTAGGGTCCCCATTGTGAGGTGCCTTTGTTCCCGTGTGGCTCTAGGGTCCCCATTGTGAGGTGCCTTTGTTCCTGTGTGGCTCTAGGGTCCCCATTGTGAGGTGCCTTTGTTCCCATGTGGCTCTAGAGTCCCCATTGTGAGGTGCCTTTGTTCCCGTGTGGCTCTAGGGTCCCCATTGTGAGGAAAACAAGAATAGACCTACTGCTTTCCCTAACAAGTATGTCATAGAAGTGGATTAATTGGGGGGGGGGGGGGGAGCTGCCTTTGAAGTCAGAGTGCATCTGCCTGGGGGTCGCCAGCAACAACCAACTGCACATAAATAAGCCAGTAAAACAGATGTACACTCAAAACTCAGGCCCTGGCACAAATGGATGAACAATCAGGATTTTCCACTAGAGATTGCAGCTGGTGAACAAAGAAGATCACACTTTCTAGATATTTCAATTCTCTAACTTGTTTCATCCCCAGAACCATTCAGCGTTTTATGTATTGTGCCAGGGGTTTGCTGCTGACTTGCATTGTTTTGATTTTGTTTGTACCCATATGGGTTCCAGTGCCATATTATAGAATTAACAAGAATAGATTCACTGCCTACCCAAAAGCATGTCGTAAGAGTCGACTAATTGGGAGCTTTCTTCAAAGTCAGAGTGCATCTATCTGAGAGGCGAGGAACCAACAGTCTGCATACAAGTAAGTCAGATCTGTCAAATGGATGCCCACGCAACACTCAGGTTCGGGAGCAGATCTGCAGTCCAGAAGTGAAAGAACAACCAGAACTTTCTGGCGGAGTGAAAGCAAAGAAGAAGAAGAAAATTTTGTTTGCATTAATCTTCATGTTTTATTTACTGTATGCTGGACTGAACCTGATTTATGACAGTACTAAATGTATGTAGTGTGTGGTAGTGGTTAGAAACTTCATCTGTAATCTCTTGTGACTTCTGGCAGTACTAGATACATGTTGTATAGTTACACATTCCAACATCTCTCTCACCTCTACCTCATGGTGGCACAACAGACATAATATAAATGTTCTGTCTCACTTCACAGTAACACAACAAACATTACATTTATAAATTTTCTGTCTTACCCCTTGGTATCACAACAGGCATAATATTATGTCCCCTCTCACTTCACAGTAACACAACAAACATTACACACACACACACACACACACATATCCCTTGGTAGCACAACAGACATAATATATATGTTCTGTCTCACTTCACAGTAACACAACAAACATTACATACATATATACCCCTTGGTAGCAACAGACATAATATATCTGTTCTGTCTCACTTCACAGTAACACAACAAACATTACTTACATATATATCCCTTGGTAGCAACAGACATAATATATCTGTTCTGTCTCACTTCACAGTAACACAAGAAACATTACTTACATATATATCCCTTGGTAGCACAACAGACATAATATATATGTTCTGTCTCACTTCACAATAACACAACAAACATTACATACATATATATCCCTTGGTAGCACAACAGACATAATATATATGTTCTGTCTCACCTCACAGTAACACAACAAACATTACAAACATATATATCCCCTGGTAGCACAATAGAAATAATATTGTTTTCAAGAGGACAACATGTAATCAATCCTTGTCACAGACACAAGAAACAGAATTCTTGCATGCTGTATGGCTGCAAATCCTGGACATTTAGTTAACAACATTACCATGAGCAGTGGCCTTTTGCTGTTGATTGTATGGAGATATTACAGTACAATATGTGACCTTATTGCTGTTGATTGTATGGAGATATTACAGTACAATATGTGACCTTATTGCTGTTGATTGTATGGAGATATTACAGTACAATATGTGACCTTTTGCTGTTGATTGTATGGAGATATTACAGTACAATATGTGACCTTTTGCTATTGATTGTATGAAGATATTACAGTACAATATGTGACCTTATTGCTGTTGATTGTATGGAGATATTACAGTACAATATGTGACCTTTTGCTATTGATTGTATGGAGATATTACAGTACAATATGTGACCTTTTGCTGTTGATTGTATGGAGATATTACAGTACAATATGTGACCTTATTGCTGTTGATTGTATGGAGATATTACAGTACAATATGTGACCTTTTGCTGTTGATTGTATGGAGATATTACAGTACAATATGTGACCTTTTGCAGAGATGTTTTAGCACAATATTTGATGTGTTCTGGTAGTGATTAGTGCGGACATTATCACAGCACTTGGGAGATCTCCTCATGTGTCCCAATCTCCTCCTCAGTAACTCCACAAGAGTCAAATGACCCATCACATCCATTCTTTGTTGATGAATCCTGTGCCGTTAGTAAAATGTTCAAGTCTGGCTGCTTCAGGTTGCATTCCCAAATCCATTGAAATGGGTCTCGCATGGAATTAATGACGCCACTCCTTCCCAGTGCCTGGCCTCTTATAGTAAATGTCTTGACCACCAGATCATCTGCATGCTCATTGCTTCCAACACCTGTATGGGCCAGCACTAAAGTAAAGATTAGGTGATACGTTTAACGAAAACAACCGGTTCATGTCTGATAAAGCCGGCCAGGCTTTTATTGTGAGCGTTGATTGAATCACTCAGCGTGCACGCATGTGTGAATTCTAAATACCCCAGCCATACCAGTGCTGCCCATGCCTGTGCTGCCCATGTCAGTGCTGCCCATGTCGGTGCTGCCCATGTCAGTGCTGCCCATGTCAGTGCTGCCCATGCCTGTGCTGCCCTTGCCAGTGCTGCCCATACCAGTGCTGCCCATACCAGTGCTGCCCTTGCCAATAAACCACAGCTTTGTCTGCGTGTTCTCATCAGTCAGCATTTGGACTCAGATGTCCTTTATGCCAGGAACCTTCAGCTGTTGTCAAGGGTGATATGGACTGTGATGTTGATGCAAGCAGTAGACAGAAGCATCCCGTCCTAGATCAAGGTCTTGCAGGTGACACATCTGCTCGACAGCATCCTCATGTCAGTCTGCTCTTTCTAGGCTTGAACGCGTCACCAGCAAACAGGTGTGGCAGGTGTGATTTGACCATGAAGAAAATGTTGAGTCCGTTGTTCATTGTGAGGATAGTCCAAGAGTGCAACCAAGAAAATCATGCGTAGCCTGAAGTTTTTTCCCATCTTTATGTCTATGTGATGTGTTCCCTCTGGTATATTATAGCACAGTATTTGATTTTTTTTCTCATACAGATATCATAGTACTGATCTTTTTCTCATAAAGATAAAGTACAATAAAATGAGATCAGGTGTTGTGTTTTCATAAAATAAGATGACATGTATTCTTACAGAGATATGTGAAATCTGATGAACTATTGTATTTTCACCAAGATATGTGAAATGAGATTAAATGTTGTGATCTCACAGAGATTTATGAAATCCCAGACAAGATCAAGCTATGCAAGAATCTGCAGGTGTTGGATTTCAGCAGTAATCCGCTGACTAAAGGGTGAGTCACATCGTTTGTGTTTGTTTGTTTGTTTGTAGGAAGCATGTTTGTATTGTTTGTTTGATTTGCTAACATTGCAAGGCTTCTGGTTTCTCTGGGCTTGTAGTAAACAAAACAGTCTGGTGACATCGTCTGTTCCATATTTCTCTAAGGCAATGATAATTTTATTTGTGTGACATTCTGAAGACTATTTATGTGTGAAAGTTGATGGAAGGTAGATCACCCCAATCTCATCAAAAGCATGTCCCAGTGTCTCTGTCTCTTATTCTTAGCATTTGTCAGCTTGAACTCCAGCAGAAAGTTCTGGCTGTTCGTCCACTTCTGGACTTTGATCTTGATCTGCATGCAGATCCGCTTTACAGGTCTGGTTTATTTGTATTTAGACTGTTGGTTCCTGGTGTCTCAGGCGGTGCACTCTGACTTTGATGCAAACATCTCTGATTAGTTACTTTTATGCCATGCTGGGGGGGGGGGGGGCAGTGGGTCTGTTCTATTGTCTCCTGAAGTGGCAGTGGAAATGGGGGATTGTGAGGGAAATGCACAGAAAAACATGTGCTAGACAGAACAACAACAGTTGCAATTGTCCAAAAGACCTGTAGAAGCATGTATGTAACATTGGCTCTTGTGTTCTGTGTGTACCACTTGTTGGTTGTACCAGCTGTAACATTGGTTCTTGTGTTCTGTATGTACAACTTGTTGGTTGTACCAGCTGTAACATTGGCTCTTGTGTTCTGTATGTACAACTTGTTGGTTGTACCAGCTGTAACATTGGTTCTTGTGTTCTGTATGTACAACTTGTTGGTTGTACCAGCTGTAACATTGGCTCTTGTGTTCTGTATGTACAACTTGTTGGTTGTACCAGCTGTAACATTGGCTCTTGTGTTCTGTATGTACAACTTGTTGGTTGTACCAGCTGTAACATTGGTTCTTGTGTTCTGTATGTACAACTTGTTGGTTGTACCAGCTGTAACATTGGCTCTTGTGTTCTGTATGTACAACTTGTTGGTTGTACCAGCTGTAACATTGGCTCTTGTGTTCTGTATGTACAACTTGTTGGTTGTACCAGCTGTAACATTGGTTCTTGTGTTCTGTATGTACAACTTGTTGGTTGTACCAGCTGTAACATTGGCTCTTGTGTTCTGTATGTACAACTTGTTGGTTGTACCAGCTGTAACATTGGCTCTTGTGTTCTGTATGTACAACTTGTTGATTGTACCAGCTGTAACATTGGCTCTTGTGTTCTGTATGTACAACTTGTTGGTTGTACCAGCTGTAACATTGGCTCTTGTGTTCTGTATGTACAACTTGTTGGTTGTACCAGCTGTAACATTGGCTCTTGTGTTCTGTATGTACAACTTGTTGATTGTACCAGCTGTAACATTGGCTCTTGTGTTCTGTATGTACAACTTGTTGGTTGTACCAGCTGTAACATTGGTTCTTGTGTTCTGTGTGTACCACTTGTTGGTTGTACCAGCTGTAACATTCTTGTGTTCTGTGTGTACCACTTGTTGGTTGTACCAGCTGTAACATTGGTTCTTGTGTTCTGTATGTACAACTTGTTGGTTGTACCAGCTGTAACATTGGTTCTTGTGTTCTGTATTGTACCAGCTGTAACATTGGTTCTTGTGTTCTGTGTGTACCACTTGTTGGTTAAACCAGCTGTAATATTGGTTCTTGTGTTCTGTATGTACAACTTGTTGATTGTACCAGCTGTAACATTGGTTCTTGTGTTCTGTATGTACAACTTGTTGGTTGTACCAGCTGTAACATTGGCTCTTGTGTTCTGTGTGTACCACTTGTTGGTTGTACCAGCTGTAACATTGGTTCTTGTGTTCTGTATGTACAACTTGTTGATTGTACCAGCTGTAACATTGGCTGTTGTGTTCTGTGTGTACCACTTGTTGGTTAAACCAGCTGTAATATTGGTTCTTGTGTTCTGTATGTACAACTTGTTGATTGTACCAGCTGTAACATTGGCTCTTGTGTTCTGTATGTACAACTTGTTGATTGTACCAGCTGTAACATTGGCTCTTGTGTTCTGTATGTACAACTTGTTGGTTGTACCAGCTGTAACATTGGCTCTTGTGTTCTGTATGTACAACTTGTTGGTTGTACCAGCTGTAACATTGGCTCTTGTGTTCTGTATGTACAACTTGTTGATTGTACCAGCTGTAACATTGGCTCTTGTGTTCTGTATGTACAACTTGTTGATTGTACCAGCTGTAACATTGGTTCTTGTGTTCTGTATGTACAACTTGTTGATTGTACCAGCTGTAACATTGGCTCTTGTGTTCTGTATGTACAACTTGTTGGTTGTACCAGCTGTAACATTCTTGTGTTCTGTATGTACAACTTGTTGATTGTACCAGCTGTAACATTGGCTCTTGTGTTCTGTATGTACAACTTGTTGGTTGTACCAGCTGTAACATTCTTGTGTTCTGTATGTACAACTTGTTGATTGTACCAGCTGTAACATTGGCTCTTGTGTTCTGTATGTACAACTTGTTGGTTGTACCAGCTGTAACATTGGCTCTTGTGTTCTGTGTGTACCACTTGTTGGTTGTACCAGCTGTAACATTTGTTCTTGTGTTCTGTATGTACTACTTGTTGGTTAAACCAGCTGTAACATTGGTTCTTGTGTTCTATGTGTACCACTTGTTGGTTGTACCAGCTGTAACATTGGTTCTTGTGTTCTGTATGTACAACTTGTTGATTGTACCAGCTGTAACATTGGTTCTTGTGTTCTGTACAACTTGTTGGTTATACCAGCTGTGTAATTGGTTCTTGTGTTCTGTATGTACTACTTGTTGGTTGTACCAGCTGTGTAATTGGTTCTTGTGTTCTGTATGTACCACTTGTTGGTTAAACCAGCTGTAATATTGGTTCTTGTGTTCTGTGTGTACCACTTGTTGGTTGTACAAGCTGTAATATTGGTTCTTGTGTTCTGTATGTACCACTTGTTGGTTGTACCAGCTGTGTAATTTGTTCTTGTGTTCTGTATGTACCACTTGTTGGTTAAACCAGCTGTAATATTGGTTCTTGTGTTCTGTGTGTACCACTTGTTGGTTGTACCAGCTGTAACATTGGTTCTTGTGTTCTGTGTGTACCACTTGTTGGTTGTACCAGCTGTAACATTGGTTCTTGTGTTCTGTATGTACCACTTGTTGGTTGTACCAGCTGTAACATTGGTTCTTGTGTTCTGTATGTACAACTTGTTGATTGTACCAGCTGTAACATTGGTTCTTGTGTTCTGTATGTACAACTTGTTGGTTGTACCAGCTGTGTAATTGGTTCTTGTGTTCTGTATGTACAACTTGTTGGTTGTACCAGCTGTAACATTTGTTCTTGTGTTCTGTATGTACAACTTGTTGGTTGTACCAGCTGTAACATTGGTTCTTGTGTTCTGTGTGTAGCACTAATTGACTGTACCAGCTGTGTAATTGATTTTCATGTTCTGTGTGTAGCACTAATTGACTGTACCAGCTGTGTAATTGGTTTTCATGTTCTGTGTGTAGCGCTAATTGACTGCACCAGAAATGTGTTCTGTGTAAGCGCCATCTGCTGGTTTTGCCTTTGTACATTGAAGCATTGATCACAGTCTTGTAGCTGATGTCTTCTGTCTTTATCCAGGCTGTGCCTGTGTCCTGCCACCTGTTTCCATCCAGCTTGTCCTGAAATACAGCAAGAGAGAAAGAGATTGTTTTTGTGTGAATTATAGAGAAACATTTTAGATGGTTCTATGTTCGTTATCTGCGCAATTTAATGATAGTAACATCAGCTAATTAATCCACATGGATTGGCAATATCATCAACTAATCAGTCCACAGGCTTAGTTGGCAGTATCACTAGCTGATCGATCAACAAGGATAGTTGGCAGTATCACTAGCTGATCAGTCAACATGGATAGTTGGCAGTATCACTAGCTGATCAATCAACATGGATAGTTGGCAGTATCACTAGCTGATCAGTCAACATTGATAGTTGGCAGTATAACTAGCTGATCAGTCAACATTGATAGTTGGCAGTATAACTATCTGATCAGTCAACATTGATAGTTGGCAGTATCACTAGCTGATCAATCAACATGGATAGTTGGCAGTATCACTAGCTGATCAGTCAACATTGATAGTTGGCAGTATCACTAGCTGATCAATCAACGTTGATAGTTGTCAGTATCACTAGCTGATCAGTCAACATTGATAGTTGGCAGTATCACTAGCTGATTAGTCAACATTGATAGTTGGCAGTATCACTAGCTGATCAGTCAACATTGATAGTTGGCAGTATAACTAGCTGATCAGTCAACATTGATAGTTGGCAGTATCACTAGCTGATCAGTCAACATTGATAGTTGGCAGTATCACTAGCTGATCAGTCAACATTGATAGTTGGCAGTATCACTAGCTGATCAGTCAACATTGATAGTTGGCAGTATCACTAGCTGACAATCAACATTGATAGTTGGCAGTATCACTAGCTGATCAGTCAACATTGATAGTTGTCCATTGATAGTTGTCAGTATCACTAGCTGATCAGTCAACATTGATAGTTGGCAGTATCACTAGCTGATCAATCAACATTGATAGTTGGCAGTATCACTAGCAGATCAATCAACATTGATAGTTGGCAGTATCACTAGCTGATCAGTCAACATGGATAGTTGGCAGTATCACTAGCTGATCAGTCAACATTGATAGTTGGCAGTATCACTAGCTGATCAATCAACATGGATAGTTGGCAGTATCACTAGCTGATCAGTCAACATTGATAGTTGGCAGTATCACTAGCTGATCAATCAACTTGGATAGTTGGCAGTATCATCAGCTAATTAATCTACACTGGTAGTTGGAGTTGATATTATCAATCCATGCGGATAGTTGGTAGTATCCTCCGTTAATCAGTCAGCTGTTGTCTAGAACCCATGTGTGTAAGCTAGTAAATAACAGGGGGAAGACAGCCGACAGTGGAGCGCTTGCCCCAGCCTCACAAAGTGTTAGCTAGGACAGTGGTGCGCTTGCCCCAGCCTCACAAAGTGTTAGCTAGGACAGTGGTGCGCTTGCCCCAGCCTCACAAAGTGTTAGCTAGGTAGGACAGTGGTGCGCTTGTCCCAGCCCCACAAAGTGTTAACTAGGACAGTGGTGCGCTTGCCCCAGCCTCACAAAGTGTTAGCAAGGACAGTGGTGCGCTTGTCCCAGCCTCACAAAGTGTTAGCTAGGACAGTGGTGCGCTTGTCCCAGCCTCACAAAGTGTTAGCTAGGACAGTGGTGCGCTTGCCCCAGCCTCACAAAGTGTTAGCTAGGACAGTGGTGCGCTTGCCCCAGCCTCACAAAGTGTTAGCTAGGACAGTGGTGCGCTTGTCCCAGCCTCACAAAGTGTTAGCTAGGACAGTGGTGCGCTTGCCCCAGCCTCACAAAGTGTTAGCTAGGACAGTGGTGCGCTTGCCCCAGCCTTACAAAGTGTTAGCTAGGACAGTGGTGCGCTTGCCCCAGCCTCACAAAGTGTTAGCTAGGACAGTGGTGCGCTTGTCCCAGCCTCACAAAGTGTTAGCTAGGACAGTGGTGCGCTTGCCCCAGCCTTACAAAGTGTTAGCTAGGACAGTGGTGCGCTTGCCCCAGCCTTACAAAGTGTTAGCAAGGCAACCAAGCCAAAGTATTCAATAAAAGGGGCACTCCCAATGTGCTCAGTTCTGACCTCATGTTATCTAGTTGCCTGAATGTTGTCAGTTTGTACTAGCAGCTGCCAGTTGTTGTCTAGAAGCCTTGTTGTTGCACGCTATCCCCTTCATGTCCTCAGTCCAGACCTAATGTTATCTAGTTGCCTGAATGTTGTCCTTTTGTACTAGCAGCTGCCAGTTGTTGTCTAGAAGCCTTGTTGTTCGCCTCATTTCCATATCCCGAATTTGGAAGCATGTCAGCATCTTATGTTGTCTGGGGTTTGATGTGACCACAAGAGGGCAAATAAGAGACACATGACACCACTCAAGGGACAGGTATGCTGGATCTAACCCGATCTGCTCTGTGACGACGTCAGGGCTCCGTCTGGTGTCCTGTAAGGCTGTGCCAGCTTATTGATCTGATCTTTTGTCGGCAGCTGCCAGTGATAGCCCGTCCTTGGCTTACATCTGACAGCGGTTGTAGGTCACTGACATTCTCACGTGTCTTTTGGCTGCTGCTACTGGTGTAGGACAAGTGCTGGTGACCATAGTCATTATGTAGCTTGCCCAACCTGGCTGCCATCCCCACCTGCTGGTCAACGTCTCTGTCTATTGACATATCACCTGCTTCCTGTCATGTCACCTGCTTCGTGTATTTTCTTCTCCTGTGTATCAATTTCTACTTGTTTGTGTCAGTTTCGTGCATTTTGACCGCGCCTCTAGCCCTAAATTGGTTGTTTGTTGACACGTGTGGAAGTTATTGTGAGATAATGACTGGCAACAGTTGACATAGGTCATGCCAGCAAACAGTCGACCAAATATCGCTGGCAGGAATAGGGCAGTGCAAGAAGTCCAGCCGTCTGCTTTATTTTTGGGAGACTTGTATGTGAACAATCTGTGACAGTTAAGAGGAGGGAAGACTTGTATGTGAACGATCTGTGATAGTTATTGTTCCAGTAAAGAGGAGGGGAGACTTGTATGTGAACAATCTGTGACAGTTATTGTTCCAGCAAAGACGAGGGGAGACTTGTATGTGAACAATCTGTGACAGTTGTTCCAGCAAAGACGAGGGGAGACTTGTATGTGAACAATCTGTGACAGTTTTTTCAGCAAAGAAGAGGGGAGACTTGTATGTGAACAATCTGTGACAGTTTTTTCAGCAAAGAAGAGGGGAGACTTGTATGTGAACAATCTGTGACAGTTGTTCCAGCAAAGACGAGGGGAGACTTGTATGTGAACAATCTGTGACAGTTCTTTCAGCAAAGAAGAGGGAAGACTTGTGTGTGTATAATCTGTGACAGTTCTTTCAGCAAAGAAGAGGGGAGACGTGTGTGTATAATCTGTGACAGTTCTTTCAGCAAAGAAGAGGGAAGACTTGTGTGTGTATAATCTGTGACAGTTCTTTCAGCAAAGAAGAGGGGAGACTTGTATGTGTACAATCTGTGACAGTTCTTTCAGCAAAGAGGGGATGGCAGGTTTGTTGCTGGCGGCAACATTGTCAGAATGTCTGTAGGCCTGTTGGTGTGTCAGATGTTGTTGAGGGGCAGAGGCTGGCAGCGGATCGGGTGTGCCAGACCACCTATAGAGAGTAGGCGTTCTTGTCACCTACATAGAATGTTCCAGCTGGCTGTGTGCAGCATGCCTACATTACACTGTTCACGGCGACTGCACGCGCGCGCGTATACACACATATACCTTCCTTACCCTGTTTTTTTCTAAATCTGACAGGTTTTTTCCCCCCACATTTCATGCAGTATAGAATAGTAATACGGGACACGGTCGTGTCTTTGCCTCTGCATATGTCGGTGTTGACGACAGTTTTGGTGTTCAGGGACAGACTGTTCCCGCCGTGTAGTCGGTTCTTGTGTTCTGTATTACGCGCCACCTATCTTATTTGGGCCGGTCATATTGTATTTTGAAGCGCTGATAACACCACCTTGGGCGCGCGTGCGCGCACACACACACACGAGGCTAGGTCGCATGCGAGGAAACAAACTGGGTCAGGATTCCCCCACATCCGCTGGCTGACAGGTCAGGAGGTTCCCCGCGCTGGCCCACAGTTTGGTGAGCAGATTGTTGAGTGGCGAGCCAGACCGGCAACCCGCGTCATTAGCTGGCGCGTGAGGCGTCAGCTTGCTGCCCCGTGAGTTTTCTCAAGGACATGTGTACGCTAGGCGTGAGATGCACGGGCGGTAGTGCTCACCGGTCTGTCTGTCTGTCGACCAGTTTGGCGCTGATCCCAACCTGTGTAATGAGACTGTGCTCCAGGGCGGCTTTCATTGCACACTGATATCCCATTGAAGTGGGTCAGAGACTCATCCTGTTTATACAGTCTCAGTTCTTGGATGCCAATCACACTCTTTGGTGACCAGATTTTTTGCCATGCTGGCCACCTTTTTGTGGCCTGCTTGTGTTGTGAATTACTCTCAGGGTTTTCGCCCTTGTCCTAGAAAGATAGACTGCCCACCAATTCACAGCGGAGGTGTGCATATACACAAACGCCTATGGGTCTTTTCGTTCATGTATATATTCAAATACACGCCTCTCATTATGTTTGTCTCTTGTTATGTGTTGCAACTCACTGTTCTTTATCTGTTTGTTGTCTTTTGCACTATGAATGAAACGTTTTTGAGTTAGATGGACCCTAAAACCACCCCAAGAGTTACAGATGGATGGATATAGTTTCTCTTGATTTAGCAGCTGCTTATTCTGTGATCTTGAATGTGTGGCCATGATGGATGTAGAATCATTGGTGTTTGTCTGATGTTTCAGTCTGCCCGATGGATTACTGCAGCTGCGTAACCTGACACAGTTAGGCCTCAATGACGTGGCTCTACAGAGACTGCCCTATGATATCGCAAGGTAGGACAGGCAGGGTTAGAGTAGAGGGGTCAGAAGGTAGGACAGGCAGGGGTAGAGCAGAGGGGGTCAGAAGGTAGGACAGGCAGGGGTAGAGTAGAGGGGGTCAGAAGGTAGGACAGGCAGGGGTAGAGTAGAGGGGGTTAGAAGGTAGGACAGGCAGGGGTAGAGCAGAGGGGGGTCAGAAGGTAGGACAGGCAGGGGTAGAGTAGAGGGGGTCAGAAGGTAGGACAGGCAGGGATAGAGCAGAGGGGGTCAGAAGGTAGGACAGGCAGGGGTAGAGCAGAGGGGGTCAGAAGGTAGGACAGGCAGGGGTAGAGCAGATTAGGTCAGAAGGTAGGACAGGCAGGGGTAGAGCAGATTGGGTCAGAAGGTAGGACAGGCAGGGGTAGAGCAGATTGGGTCAGAAGGTAAGACAGGTAGGGGTGGAGCAGAGGGGGTCAGAAGGTAGGACAGGCAGGGGTGGAGCAGAGGGGTTCAGAAGGTAGGACAGGCAGGGGTAGAGTAGAGGGGGTCAGAAGGTAGGACAGGCAGGGGTAGAGTAGAGGGGGTCAGAAGGTAGGACAGGCAGGGATAGAGCAGAGGGGGTCAGAAGGGCGGACAGGCAGGGGTAGAGTAGAGGGGGTCAGAAGGTAGGACAGGCAGGGGTAGAGCAGAGGGGGTCAGAAGGTAGGACAGGCAGGGGTAGAGTAGAGGGGGTCAGAAGGTAGGACAGGCAGGGATAGAGCAGAGGGGGTCAGAAGGTAGGACAGGCAGGGGTAGAGCAGAGTGGGTCAGAAGGTAGGACAGGCAGGGGTAGTAGAGCAGATTGGGTCAGAAGGTAGGACAGGCAGGGGTAGAGTAGAGGGGGTCAGAAGGTAGGACAGGCAGGGATAGAGCAGAGGGGGTCAGAAGGTAGGACAGGCAGGGATAGAGCAGAGGGGGGTCAGAAGGTAGGACAGGCAGGGGTAGAGCAGAGGGGGTCAGAAGGTAGGACAGGCAGGGGTGGAGCAGAGGGGGTCAGAAGGTAGGACAGGCAGGGGTAGAGCAGAGGGGGTCAGAAGGTAGGACAGGCAGGGGTAGAGTAGAGGGGGTCAGAAGGTAGGACAGGCAGGGATAGAGCAGAGGGGGTCAGAAGGTAGGACAGGTAGGGGTGGAGCAGAGGGGGTCAGAAGGTAGGACAGGCAGGGGTGGAGCAGAGGGGTCAGAAGGTAGGACAGGCAGGGGTGGAGCAGAGGGGTTCAGAAGGTAGGACAGGCAGGGGCGGAGCAGAGGGGTTCAGAAGGTAGGACAGGCAGGGGTAGAGTAGAGGGGGTCAGAAGGTAGGACAGACAGGGGTAGAGTAGAGGGGGTCAGAAGGTAGGACAGGCAGGGATAGAGCAGAGGGTGGGTCAGAAGGTAGGACAGGCAGGGGTAGAGTAGAGGGGGTCAGAAGGTAGGACAGGCAGGGGTAGAGCAGAGGGGGTCAGAAGGTAGGACAGGCAGGGGTAGAGTAGAGGGGGTCAGAAGGTAGGACAGGCAGGGATAGAGCAGAGGGGGTCAGAAGGTAGGACAGGCAGGGGTAGAGCAGATTGGGTCAGAAGGTAGGACAGGCAGGGGTAGAGCAGAGGGGGTCAGAAGGTAGGACAGGCAGGGATAGAGCAGAGGGGGTCAGAAGGTAGGACAGGCAGGGGTAGTAGAGCAGATTGGGTCAGAAGGTAGGACAGGCAGGGGTAGAGTAGAGGGGGTCAGAAGGTAGGACAGGCAGGGATAGAGCAGAGGGGGTCAGAAGGTAGGACAGGCAGGGGTAGTAGAGCAGAGGGGGTCAGAAGGTAGGACAGGCAGGGGTAGAGCAGAGGGGGTCAGAAGGTAGGACAGGCAGGGGTGGAGCAGAGGGGGTCAGAAGGTAGGACAGGCAGGGGTAGAGCTGAGGGGGTCAGAAGGTAGGAGAGGCAGGGATAGAGCAGAGGGGGTCAGAGAGAGATGGTTACAGATATCATAAATTGGGTAAAATGAGATGGGGGGGGGGGGGGGGGGGGACTTCAAGACATGTACTATAGCATGCAAAGGTAAAAAATTTTTTTATATTGGGTCATTTTACATGATAAGTTCTGCATCAGTTTTATAACATCAGTTCTATCTTGTAGAAGTCAAGAGAGTTCAACTATAACACTGTTAAGTTCTACATGATATGTACCAAGGTGTGAAGTTCTGTCTATGATCTATTATAGCATATAGTTCTAGCCTGTTTGTTCTTCAGGCTAAGGAAATCCAGACAGTATAGCTTTTATTAGATAAACAGCATGAAAACATTCACTGTGTGGGATGTGGGAGGGAGACACTGGGTGGAGACATTCATTGTGTGGGATGTGGGAGGGAGACACTCGGTGGAGACATTCATTGTGTGGGATGTGGGGTGGAAACATTCATTGTGTGGGATGTGGGAGGGAGACACTGGGTGGAGACATTCATTGTGTGGGATGTGGGAGGGAGACACTGGGTGGAGACATTCACTGTGTGGGATGTGGGAGGAAGACACTGGGTGGAGACATTCATTGTGTTGGATGTGGGAGGGAGACACTGGGTGGAGACATTCACTGTGTGGGATGTGGGAGGGAGACACTGGATGGAGAAATTCAGTGTGGGATGTGGGAGGGAGACACTGGGTGGAGACATTCACTGTGTGGGATGTGGGATTCACTGTGTGGGATGTGGGAGGGAGATATTGGGTGGAGACATTCACTGTGTGGGATGTGGGAGGGAGACACTGGGTGGAGACATTCACTGTGTGGGATGTGGGAGGGAGCCATTGGGTGAAAACTTTCACTGTGTGGGATGTGGGAGGGAGCCATTGGGTAGAAACGATCACTGTGTGGGTTGTGGGAGAGAGCCATTGGGTGGAAACATTCATTGTGTGGGATGTGGGAGGGAGACACTGGAAGGAAACATTCACTTTGTGGGATGTGGAGGGAGCCACTAGCTGGAGACATTCACTGTGTGGGATGACCAAACAACCCATTTAGTGTAACTGTTGATGATGTGGTTTGATGTCCTCAGTCTGACTAGCCTGGTGTCCCTGGAGCTTCGAGACAACATGCTCAAGATTATCCCACAGTCCATCTCCTTCCTCATCAAGCTGAAGATTCTAGACCTGGGCAGCAACGACCTGGAGACTTTGGTAGGCTCTTCCTGTCTGTCTGTCTGTCTCTCTCTCTCTCTCCCTTCCTCCCTACCACACATTCCAACACTGCCTTGTTGAGCAGACAACACTGCCTTGTTGAGCAGACAACACTGCCTTGTTGAGCAGACAACACTGCCTTGTTGAGCAGACAACACTGCCTTGTTGAGCAGACAACACTGCCTTGTTGAGCAGACAACACTGCCTTGTTGAGCAGACAACACTGCCTTGTTGAGCAGACAACACTGCCTTGTTGAGCAGACAACACTGCCTTGTTGAGCAGACAACACTGCCTTGTTTTAACAACCCTGCTCTACCTGGTGTAGATATCTTGAACGTCGGCTGTCTTTGAAGTTGAGTTGAGAACCATCATCTGAGCACTAGGGACATTCCCATAAGTGCCGCACCCCCATCTTCAGCAGCCGGCTTATAGTTAATTATGTCACTAACAGTAACTAGTTTATCAGTAGATACTGCTGACATGGTCATAAATACTAGAGATTTCAAGGCTGATGAAATAGGCTGACCAGGCTGCCTTTGCTGAAATCATTTCTGATGTTGGGTGAGAGGGAGCTGATCACTTGTTTGTGGACATGTATGCATCTGTTCAAGGGTGTTGAAACCTGAGCACCTGATATGTCTGTATGATTTGATACTGTGTCACATAAATGGGGAGTTCATTTGGGGCCGAGAAGTCGCACCTGTAGACTGGAAACAGAAGGTTAGACAGTACTGTAATTGCAATTTTTACAGAACTGAAATCCTTCTTGTCGACCTCCCATCTAAAGACAGCCAGTCAGTGAGTGTCACCAGAAAAGCCAGTTCTTTCACTGACTCATCCAGTGATTGCCTGCAATTGTTGTTTAGGTTCCCCAGTACCCAGACTCTGTTTGCCTCCTCCAGTGATTGCCTGCAACTGTTGTTTAGGTTCCCCAGTACCCAGACTCTGTTTGCCTCCTCCAGTGATTGTCTGCAATTGTTGTTTAGGTTCCCCAGTACCCAGACTCTGTTTGCCTCCTCCAGTGATTGCCTGCAATCGTTGTTCAGGTTCCTGTCATTGCACGCAGATGTCTCATCAAGTGCCTCAGTCTGTCCTGTATGTACACAAAGACAATCTCAGTATGCTGATGTTAATCACAGGTATACTCTTAGTTGTCAGCGGTGAATAATCAGTGGTATTTCTCTCAGAGTAGGAGAGCATCGGCCAGAGAAACAAGGAGCCAGCAGTCTGATTACAGATAAGCCACACCTAGCAAACGGATGTGCATGCAAAACTTCTGTTCTGGAACAAGACTGAAGTCTAGAAGTGGACAAACAACCAGAACTTTCCACAGGAGATGACAGCTGGTGAATGTTAAGGAGGAGAAGAGACTGACTTGAACCCCTGTCCATGCAAGCATTTGTCACTTGCTAATCTGGAACACAAGGATAAAATGTCAACTTGCTTGGGTTTAGTTTAGTGCTAGCTGTCAAGAACTGTCAGTTCAAATGTCAGTTGTGTGGGACAGACTTCATATGTAAGTTTTTGACACAGATTTAGTGTCAACTTTTCAGACTAGAAATAGAAAACGAAATAAGGTAAACAATGTTGGCAGATGTGCATCAGCTGTGGCCTGTTTGTTGTTCCACAGCCTCCATCCATCGGGTCCTTGCCTGCCCTAGAGGAGCTGTGGCTGGACTGTAACTATATCTCTGAGCTGCCACCGGTGAGTTTGTTGGCTCTGCTGATGTGTCTGTCTGTGTGTGTGTGTGTTTGAGTGTGCTTGCTTGACTGTTTATATTGTCATGTCATATGGAAGATAAAAGAGCAGAGTGATGGGCTTCTGTAGCTACATGAATGGATGGAGGCCAGCAGTTTTGTTGACAGTTCACAGTTGGTAACTTGAGATAGATTGAGCACAAGAGAAGTTGTTGATGTCCTAGCAGTTGCCACTGCCCCTGCACCTCTCTATTTGTTATCTTCATGGACTGTGATGAGAGCCGTAATCTGTGAAGGACTGGTTACAAGTGATGATGATGTAGTTTATGTTTCAAAGTGTTATAAAACTATAAGGTTTATCTTGTTATGTTGAATGACATGAAGTACTGTTTGCACAAACATGGCATTTTGTTTAACTGTCATTGCTGGATGTGTGTACACACATGACATTTACGATTCGTAGTGTCATTTAATGATGGCCATTCCAAGATGACATTTGTAGGGGTTTATTAAAATGATTGACATGTATTAGCTGATATTTATTTAAACATAAGATTTATTGTTTCTGTTAATAGAGATAAAGTGATGTTTTTACAAACATGGCATTGACTGTTTGTGTGTTGTACAGGAGATAGGAAACCTGAAAAAGCTGTCCATTTTGGATGTCTCTGAGAACCAGCTGGACAGACTGCCAGAGGAGATTGGAGGACTGCAGAGCTTAACTGATTTATGTCTCTCACAGAACGGGCTGGAGTATTTACCAGAAGGCATAGGTACGATCGTCTGTGTGAATTATGGTAGTCTAATACCTGAACTGAACCTCATGTTGTGTAGCTTCAACAGTACTTGCATATGTGTGTGTGTGTGTAACCTCATGTTGTGTGGCTTCAACAGTACTTGCATATGTGTGTGTGTGTGTAACCTCATGTTGTGTAGCTTCAACAGTACTTGCATATGTGTGTGTGTGTGTGAGAGAGAAAGGGAGAGAGCAGTATCACATGTTTTCACACAAGTCACAATTAAAATATATTGATACTGTCACATAAAAATCGACAAGTGTGAATATTTTCTGACATGTTTAGAAAAGTTGGTTGCATGTCCTTTACAAGCTGCCCCCAGACAAACACCAGCATTTGTTGGCTGTTTATGTTCGTACTAGGCAACTTTGCATTCAGTAGTTTGCCTTTGCTTTTACTGAATGATTGATGCTCATACTGTTGTTAAAAAAAAGGGAGAATGATCTGCTGCCATTCAAAAACTGGAGCCAGTATGTCAGAATCATGGAACCATTTAGATTATGTTATAATGTTTGGTGAATGATATTGAGAGATGTATGCTGCACTAGTTGGGTTTCATTGTTGGATATGCAGTGTTGTATTGTTGTTTGTTGACAGGCAATTCATTGTTGGATATGCAGTGTTGTATTGTTGTTTGTTGACAGGCAATCTCAAGAAGCTGGCTATTCTCAAAGTGGACATGAACCGACTGTTGGCCTTGACCCCACAGATTGGCAAGTAAGGTCACCTCTGTCTCAACTCTATGTCACTCATCTCGTCCAAAACCTTTTCAGTAAAAACACACGGAAACTAGCAATCAGAATACACTGGAAATATCAATCACAATTATTTGCCATAGATGAACTCTTCTGTGTTAAACATTAGGTAGTAAAAAAAAAAAGTGATCCCTTTTCACGCCTTTAGGTGCATCGGGCACATGGGAAGAGCACCCATATTTTTACAGACCAATCAGCACTAGGTGGTTAATGTGGTCAGCAATACGCCAACCGTCTTTACTTCCCCAGGACATACATCCTGATACCCATTTTATGCTGGGTCGACCTACGACGCCCCATGCCATGATAAAAATTCACCCAGCCAGCAGTGGGTTTTGATCGCGGTACATTGAAAATACGAGTCGGACTCAAACACCTAAGCCACGTCCGTGGCTTAGGTAATGTTAAATAAATACTACCAATGAGTGTTCCCTCAGTTGTGTGTCCTTCTCCGTGTTGATTTCTTGGCCGAGTCATTAAGCTGTGGTGTTTGTTCTGCTCTCCAGCTGTGAAAATATGCAAGAACTGATCCTCACAGAGAACTTGCTGTCGGTAAGTGCCCTAGTTGTCAGTGTATACATGATGTATGGTCTAGTTGTCAGTATATACATGATGTATGGAACCATATAGATGTATGGTTGTCAGTGTGTATATGAGGTATGGTCTTTGTTGTCAGTGTATACATGAGTATGGTCTAGTTGTCAGTGTATACATGATGTATGGTTAGTTGTCAGTGTATACATGATGTATGGTCTAGTTGTCAGTGTATACTGATGTGTGGTTAGTTGTCAGTGTATACATGATGTATGGTCAGTTGTCAGTGTATACATGATGTATGGTCTAGTTGTCTGTATACATGAGGTATGGTGTCTAGTTTGTCAGTGTATACATGGTGTATGGTCTAGTTGTCAGTGTATACATGAGGTATGGTCCATGATGTATGGTCTGGTTGTCAGTGAATACATGAGGATCTAGTTGTCAGTTTATACATGGTGTATGGTCTAGTTGTCAGTGTATACATGGTGTATGGTCTAGTTGTCAGTGTATGCATGATGTATGGTCTAGTTGTCAGTGTATACATGAGGTATGGTCTAGTTGTCATTGTGTACATGATGTATGGTCTAGTTGTCAGTGTATACATGATGTATGGTCTAGTTGTCATTGTGTACATGATGTATGGTCTAGTTGTCAGTGTATACATGATGTATGGTCTAGTTGTCAGTGTATACATGATGTATGGTCTAGTTGTCAGTGTATACATGATGTATGGTCTAGTTGTCAGTGTATACATGATGTATGGTCTAGTTGTCAGTGTATACATGTGGTATGGTCTAGTTGTCAGTGTATACATGGTGTATGGTCTAGTTGTCAGTGTATACATGAGGTATGGTCTAGTTGTCAGTGTATACATGATGTATGGTCTAGTTGTCAGTGTATACATGAGGTATGGTCTAGTTGTCAGTGTATACATGAGGTATGGTCTAGTTGTCAGTGTATACATGGTGTATGGTCTAGTTGTCAGTGTATACATGATGTATGGTCTAGTTGTCAGTGAATACATGAGGTATGGTCTAGTTGTCAGTTTATACATGGTGTATGGTCTAGTTGTCAGTGTATACATGGTGTATGGTCTAGTTGTCAGTGTATGCATGATGTATGGTCTAGTTGTCAGTGTATACATGAGGTATGGTCTAGTTGTCATTGTGTACATGATGTATGGTCTAGTTGTCATTGTGTACATGATGTATGGTCTAGTTAGTTGTCAGTGTATACATGAGGTATGGTCTAGTTAGTTGTCAGTGTATACATGAGGTATGGTCTAGTTGTCAGTGTATACATGAGGTATGGTCTAGTTGTCAGTTTATACATGGTGTATGGTCTAGTTGTCAGTGTATACATGATGTATGGTCTAGTTAGTTGTCAGTGTATACATGAGGTATGGTCTAGTTGTCAGTGTATACATGAGGTATGGTCTAGTTGTCATTGTGTACATTATGTATGGTCTAGTTAGTTGTCAGTGTATACATGATGTATGGTCTAGTTGTCATTGTGTACATGATGTATGGTCTAGTTAGTTGTCAGTGTATACATGATGTATGGTCTAGTTAGTTGTCATTGTGTACATGATGTATGGTCTAGTTAGTTGTCAGTATATACATGATGTATGGTCTAGTTAGTTGTCAGTGTATACATGATGTATGGTCTAGTTGTCATTGTGTACATGATGTATGGTCTAGTTAGTTGTCAGTGTATACATGAGGTATGGTCTAGTTGTCAGTGTATACATGAGGTATGGTCTAGTTGTCATTGTGTACATTATGTATGGTCTAGTTAGTTGTCAGTGTATACATGATGTATGGTCTAGTTGTCATTGTGTACATGATGTATGGTCTAGTTAGTTGTCAGTGTATACATGATGTATGGTCTAGTTAGTTGTCATTGTGTACATGATGTATGGTCTAGTTAGTTGTCAGTATATACATGATGTATGGTCTAGTTAGTTGTCAGTGTATACATGATGTATGGTCTAGTTGTCATTGTGTACATTATGTATGGTCTAGTTAGTTGTCAGTGTATACATAAGGTATGGTCTAGTTGTCATTGTGTACATGATGTATGGTCTAGTTAGTTGTCAGTGTATACATGATATATGGTCTAGTTGTCATTGTTTACATTATGTATGGTCTAGTTAGTTGTCAGTGTATACATGAGGTATGGTCTAGTTGTCATTGTGTACATTATGTATGGTCTAGTTAGTTGTCATTGTGTACATGATATATGGTCTAGTTAGTTGTCAGTGTATACATGATATATGGTCTAGTTGTCATTGTCATATGTATGGTCTAGGTTGTGTACATAGTTAAGGTATGGTCTAGTTTCATTGTGTACATTATGTATGGTCTAGTTAGTTGTCAGTGTATACAATGGTCTAGTTGTACATGGTCTAGTTGTCAGTGTGTACATACATGATGTATGGTCTAGTTAGTTGTCAGTGTATACGTGAGGTATGGTCTAGTTGTCATTGTGTACATTATGTATGGTCTAGTTAGTTGTCATTGTGTACATGATGTATGGTCTAGTTGTCAGTGTGTACATGATGTATGGTCTAGCTTTCAATGATGGTCTAGTTGTCAGTGTATACATGATGTATGGTCTAGTTATCAGTGTATACATGATGTATGGTCTAGTTGACCTGAGATATTTCTGCCTACCTGGTAGCATTTTGTGATTACGCAGAACCAGAAGACAGGAACCTGTCTATAGTTCATTCAGTTATCTACTTGAAGCAAGTAACAAAACCCAATATGAGGCAGTGAGTGGTGCCGGTCTCACTATGAACAAGACTGACCAGAAAGATGAATACAGACAATTGTAAAAAAAAATAATACAAGACCATCGATTTCATGTAAATCTGAGATGACAGAATGAACAGACTTTATTTTCAAAGGGTTAAGAGATGATTGGAGAGTCATCATTCTTGTACGAGCATTCTTGCGATCCGTATCATATTAGTTGAACCCATTTGTGTTGATGTGGCTCCTGAAGAAGATTTGGGCTGGGCAGTCCTGTAGTAAAAAATTGTTGAACTGTTGCAGCCCCTGTATTTGACCTCCACTCTGATACTTGACCTTGACAATAATATGTGAATTTGACCATTTGTTATTGAACTTTGATGCTCCGCTGTTGGACTGTGACCCTAAAGTTGAGCTGACCACCCAGGATTGAAATTTAACCACAATTTAAGACCTCCACTCTGCTGTTATATTTAAACTTCAATGTAACAATAGTTAGTAGTTTACTGAAAGTTGTGATAATATATTTGTACCTGATATTAATTTTGACCCTGTTTTGAGCCTCTTGCCAGTGGGATTGCTGCTGCAGATGTTTCTGTTTATCTTGTCTGCAGGATCTTCCCGTCTCTATAGGAAAGCTGAAGAACCTGCACAACCTGAATGTGGACAGGAATAGGCTGACTGAGATCCCTGTGGAGGTGAGTCCTTGACATGGCAACATTCCTCTCTCATGACCTCATGTAGATAATATAACAGTGCCTCTCTGTCAGCACTTTCATAACCTCATGTAGATAATATAACAGTGCCTCTCTGTCAACATTTCTCTTTCATGACCTCATGTAGATAATATAACAGTGCCTCTCTGTCAACATTTCTCTTTCATGACCTCATGTAGATAATATAACAGTGCCTCTCTGTCAACATTTCTCTCTCATAACCTCATGTAGATAATATAACAGTGCCGCTCTGTCAACATTTCTCTTTCATGACCTCATGTAGATAATATAACAGTGCCTCTCTGTCAACATTTCTCTCTCATGACCTCATGTAGATAATATAACAGTGCCGCTCTGTCAACATTTCTCTCTCATGACCTCATGTAGATAATATAACAGTGCCGCTCTGTCAACATTTCTCTTTCATGACCTCATGTAGATAATATAACAGTGCCTCTCTGTCAACATTTCTCTCTCATGACCTCGCGTAGATAATATAACAGTGCCTCTCTGTCAACATTTCTCTCTCATGACCTCGCGTAGATAATATAACAGTGCCTCTCTGTCAACATTTCTCTCTCATGACCTCGCGTAGATAATATAACAGTGCCTCTCTGTCAACATTCCTCTTTCATTGCACCTCTCTGTCAACATTCCTCTTTCATTGCATCTCTCTGTCAACATTCCTCTTTCATTGCATCTCTCTGTCAACATTCCTCTTTCATTGCATCTCTCTGTCAACATTCCTCTTTCATTGCACCTCTCTGTCAACATTCCTCTTTCATTGCACCTCTCTGTCAACATTCCTCTTTCATTGCATCTCTCTGTCAACATTCCTCTTTCATTGCATCTCTCTGTCAACATTCCTCTTTCATTGCACCTTCCTGTCAACATTCCTCTTTCATTGCACCTCCCTGTCAACATTCCTCTTTCATTGCATCTCTCTGTCAACATTCCTCTTTCATTGCATCTCTCTGTCAACATTCCTCTTTCATTGCACCTCCCTGTCAACATTCCTCTTTCATTGCATCTCTCTGTCAACATTCCTCTTTCATTGCATCTCTCTGTCAACATTCCTCTTTCATTGCATCTCTCTGTCAACATTCCTCTTTCATTGCACCTCCCTGTCAACATTCCTCTTTCATTGCATCTCTCTGTCAACATTCCTCTTTCATTGCATCTCTCTGTCAACATTCCTCTTTCATTGCATCTCTCTGTCAACATTCCTCTTTCATTGCATCTCTCTGTCAACATTCCTCTTTCATTGCATCAATGAATGTGGAAACTTTCAATAGTATCATGAAGCAATGCCAGTCTGATATGAGAATTATAGATACTATCGTGTGCAAGTGCCTCTCTGAGTTGACCAGTACAAGTGTCTCTGATTTAGGGCTTGTTGCCACTCTAAGAATCCTTGGAGGACATCTATGCCCTTTAAGACTTCAAACCACCCCGGATCTTTAAAAAAAAATGCAGAGTCCTTGAAGTTTGCTAGCAGTAATGGGAAAATCAGAAATAAAACAGGTGATCATTGAAAGACCTGTGATTTGTGACCACCATAGTTATTTCCGGTCATTTCCTGGTAAACCGCTGGCTGACAGTCTGTTGATTTGTCTTATTTTGAGGTTGGCAAGCATGCAAGAGAGGGCTGTGTAACCACTGTTTTATGGTATGCATTGGTGGAAGGGCGGGGAAGGGCAAGATATGTCAGAAATGGAACTAGGGCTGCCACATGCAGACAGCCACACCTGCGGCAGGAGTGGGGTGTCTCGCATGCTGTTGTTTCTGGACCACGTTTACAGTGGGAAACAGTAGGAGGCTGGCAAAGTGATGTCACTTACATTGTCCAGTTCTGTTGGCTCATATTTGCAATGTGTTTGGCACTCTTTTCTCATGCTCTCCCTCCTGGATGTCCTGTCTCTTAGCCATCCTCTGACCCTCTCCTTTGCCTTCCCTCTCCATCTCTCTCTACCTATCTTTTTTCCTCCTTTCTTCTGTCTTTTTCTGTCCATTCTTGCCTCTCTCTCTACCTGCCTGTCCCTCTTTCCCTCATCTGTGTCCCTCTCTATCTGTTTGTTTTCCCCTATCTTTGAAAACCTGTGGAAAAAGTTGGTGACTTTGGCTATGAACCCTGCTGATTGAGAATTGTAGACAATATTGAGTGTGTTGTTGATTGTAATAAATTCTTCCTAATAAGAGACCTGTGTGGTTGTTTGTTTCAGATTGGCAAATGTAGCAAGTTGGGTGTCCTATCACTTCGGGACAACAAGCTGCTGCGTCTGCCTCAGGAACTGGGCAACCTCAGCAAGCTACAGGTCCTGGATGTCTCTGGCAACAGGTACACATGTGGGCACTTAGTTCTTTGGCAGCAGGGGTGTTTTATACAAGATTGAGAGGTAGTTCTGGAGGGATACAGAGAGAAGAGGGAGATAACGTGTAAAGTTTATTTAAAGTTTTGTTAGTTTAGTTTTCAGTGAATGCATGATCTGATGAGTTTAAGTGTTGTCCCATTTGAGCTGAACGTGTCCCATTTGAGCTGAACATGTCCCATTTGAGCTGAGCATGAATTCTGTCATGGATTACTCTGAATCTGAGAAGGAAACATGCAATGAGAGGACACTGACTGCTGTGAGAGTATCCTCGGATCCTTTACAAGATTGGCCTTGGATTCTTTCTTCTTTACCACACATCAGCATACATTTATTGGTTAGGCCACAAACAGTAGAACTGCTATTGTATATTGATAGCTGAGATACGATGTGTTGGAAGAAGATACAGAAATCACAGCCTAGCTGCTAACCACAACAGTTTGGCCTTTTAAAGGGTGAATGGAGAAAAAGAAGACTTGCCTAGTAAAATGACTAACAGCCAATAAATGCTGAGTTTGTGCGATATCCTGTCTAAGGATATACAGCCTTGTGTAACTGACAAAGTCATCAGACTGTGTATCTTTCTGCATTGTAGACTGGAGTACCTGCCCATCACCGTGGCCAACCTCAACCTGAAGGCACTGTGGCTGTCGGAGAACCAGGCTCAGCCCATGCTCAAGTTCCAGACAGACTTTGACGAGAGGACCGGCCAGAGGGTTCTCACCTGCTTCCTGCTGCCTCAGCAGGGATTCCATACAGAGAGCATGGGTAAGTGACACATGTCTGTGGGCATGGGTAAGTGACACATGTCTGTGGGTATGGTAAGTCGGTGAAGTGTCAGTGGTTTTAGATGAGTGGGTGACATGTCAGTGGTATGGGTAAGTCAATGACATGTCAGTTCATATTGGTGATTCTGTGACATGTCAGTTGTTATGGGTGAGTCAGTGACATGTCAGTTCATATGGGTGAGTCATTGACATTTCTGTGGGCATGGGTGTGTCAGTGACATGTCTGTGGGCATAGGTGTGCCAGTGACATGTCTGTGGGCATAGGTGTGCCAGTGACATGACTGTGGGCATGGGTGTGCCAGTGACATGTCTGTGGGCATGGGTGTGTCAGTGACATGCCTGTGGGCATGGGTGTGCCAGTGACATGTCTGTGGGCATGGGTGTGCCAGTGACATGTCTGTGGGCATGGGTGTGCCAGTGACATGTCTGTGGGCATGGGTGTGCCAGTGACATGTCTGTGGGCATGGGTGTGCCAGTGACATGTCTGTGGGCATGGGTGTGTCAGTGACATGTCTGTGGGCATAGGTGTGCCAGTGACATGTCTGTGGGCATAGGTGTGTCAGTGACATGTCTGTGGGCATAGGTGTGCTAGTGACATGTCTGTGGGCATAGGTGTGCCAGTGACATGTCAGTAGGTATGAGTGAGTTACTGGGCATGGATGAGTCAGTGAAGTTTAAGTGGGTATGGGTGAGTCAATGATATGTCAGTAGGTATGGATGAATCAGTGACATGTCTGTAGTTATGGATGACTCACTGACATGCCAGGAGTTTGGGTGACATGGTGTAGATCTCATTGTCTGGCTGTGTTATCTCCCTGACATATTGTAGATCTCATATACATGGTTGTGTTATTCTTCCTGACATATTGTAGATCTCATGGGAATGGCTTTTATTTCCTTGATGTATTGTAGGTCTCATATATATGGCTTATTGTAAATCTCATGTGTATGTCCCTGTTACTTTCCTGACATTGTGGATCTCATGTATGTGTTCCTGTTACTTTCCTGACATTGTAGATCTCATGTAAATGTCTCTCTTACCTCCTGACATTCCTGTAGGGGTTCTAGGGACCCATTGTGGGCAAAACAGAATAGACCTATTGATTGACCCCTTACAAGTACATTATATAAGTAGATTATTTAGGGTGTTTCCATCTAATTCGGAATGTGTCTGACCGAGAGGCAAGTGCCCAACAGTCTGCATACAATCGTGCCAGATTTGTTCTAGACCAAGATCATGATCCAAAAATGGATGAACACCTTCCACCAGAGTTTTCACCTTGTGGACACTTTCCACCAGAGTTTTCACCTTGTGGACACTTTCCACCAGAGTTTTCACCTTGTGGACACTTTCCACCAGAGTTTTCAACTGGTAGACACTTTCCACCAGAGTTTTCACCTTGTGGACACTTTCCACCAGAGTTTTCAACTGGTGGACACTTTCCACCAGAGTTTTCAACTGGTGGACACTTTCCACCAGAGTGTTCAACTGGTGGACACTTTCCACCAGAGTGTTCAACTGGTGGACACTTTCCACCAGAGTTTTCAACTGGTGGACACTTTCCACCTGAGTGTTCAACTGGTGGACACTTTCCACCAGAGTGTTCAACTGGTGGACACTTTCCACCAGAGTGTTCAACTGGTGGACACTTTCCACCTGAGTGTTCAACTGGTGGACACTTTCCACCAGAGTGTTCAACTGGTGGACACTTTCCACCTGAGTGTTCAACTGGTGGACACTTTCCACCAGAGTGTTCAACTGGTGGACACTTTCCACCAGAGTGTTCAACTGGTGGACACTTTCCACCAGAGTGTTCAACTGGTGGACACTTTCCACCTGAGTGTTCAACTGGTGGACACTTTCCACCTGAGTGTTCAACTGGTGGACACTTGCCACCTGAGTGTTCAACTGGTGGACACTTTCCACCTGAGTGTTCAACTTGTGGACACTTTCCACCTGAGTGTTCACCTTCTGGACACTTTCCACCTGAGTGTTCACCTTATGGACACTTTCCACCTGAGTGTTCACCTTGTGGACACTTTCCACCTGAGTGTTCACCTTGTGGACACTTTCCACCTGAGTGTTCAACTGATGGACACTTTCCACCTGAGTTTTCAGACATTGTAAGCTAAGAAGAGTCTTTCTAACATATTATAGATTTCATGTAAATTTTCTGTGTTCCATTCTCATGTGTGTGTGTCATGTATGTAAGATCTCATGTATGTGTGCCATGTATGTAAGATCTCATGTATGTGTGCCATGTATGTAAGATCTCATGTATGTGTGCCATGTATGTAAGATCTCATGTGTGTGTGTCATGTATGTAAGATCGCATGTATGTGTGCCATGTATGTAAGATCTCATGTATGTGTGCCATGTATGTAAGATCTCATGTATGTGTGCCATGTATGTAAGATCTCATGTATGTGTGCCATGTATGTAAGATCTCATGTATGTGTGCCATGTATGTAAGATCTCATGTATGTGTGTCATGTATGTAAGATCTCATGTATGTGTGTCATGTATGTAAGATCTCATGTGTGTGTGTCATGTATGAAAGATCTCATGTATGTGTGCCATGTATGTAAGATCTCATGTATGTGTGCCATGTATGTAAGATCTCATGTATGTGTGTCATGTATGTAAGATCTCATGTATGTGTGCCATGTATGTAAGATCTCATGTATGTGTGTCATGTATGTAAGATCTCATGTGTGTGTGTCATGTATGTAAGATCTCATGTATGTGTGTCATGTATGTAAGATCTCATGTGTGTGTGTCATGTATGTAAGATCTCATGTATGTGTGTCATGTATGTAAGATCTCATGTATGTGTGTCATGTATGTAAGATCTCATGTGTGTGTGTGTCATGTATGTAAGATCTCATGTATGTGTGCCATGTATGTAAGATCTCATGTATGTGTGCCATGTATGTAAGATCTCATGTATGTGTGCCATGTATGTAAGATCTCATGTATGTGTGTCATGTATGTAAGATCTCATGTATGTGTGCCATGTATGTAAGATCTCATGTATGTGTGCCATGTATGTAAGATCTCATGTGTGTGTGTCATGTATGTAAGATCTCATGTATGTGTGCCATGTATGTAAGATCTCATGTATGTGTGCCATGTATGTAAGATCTCATGTATGTGTGCCATGTATGTAAGATCTCATGTATGTGTGCCATGTATGTAAGATCTCATGTATGTGTGTCATGTATGTAAGATCTCATGTATGTGTGTCATGTATGTAAGATCTCATGTATGTGTGTCATGTATGTAAGATCTCATGTATGTGTGCCATGTATGTAAGATCTCATGTATGTGTGCCATGTATGTAAGATCTCATGTATGTGTGTCATGTATGTAAGATCTCATGTATGTGTGCCATGTATGTAAGATCTCATGTATGTGTGCCATGTATGTAAGATCTCATGTATGTGTGTCATGTATGTAAGATCTCATGTATGTGTGTCATGTAAGATCTCATGTGTGTGTCATGTATGTAAGATCTCATGTGTGTGTCATGTATGTAAGATCTCATGTATGTGTGTCATGTATGTAAGATCTCATGTGTGTGTCATGTATGTAAGATCTCATGTATGTGTGCCATGTATGTAAGATCTCATGTGTGTGTCATGTATGTAAGATCTCATGTATGTGTGTCATGTATGTAAGATCTCATGTATGTGTGTCATGTATGTAAGATCTCATGTATGTGTGTCATGTATGTAAGATCTCATGTATGTGTGTCATGTATGTAAGATCTCATGTATGTGTGTCATGTATGTAAGATCTCATGTATGTGTGTCATGTATGTAAGATCTCATGTATGTGTGTCATGTATGTAAGATCTCATGTATGTGTGTCATGTATGTAAGATCTCATGTATGTGTGTCATGTATGTAAGATCTCATGTATGTGTGTCATGTATGTAAGATCTCATGTATGTGTGTCATGTATGTAAGATCTCATGTGTGTGTGCCATGTATGTAAGATCTCATGTATGTGTGCCATGTATGTAAGATCTCATGTATGTGTGTCATGTATGTAAGATCTCATGTGTGTGTGCCATGTATGTAAGATCTCATGTATGTGTGCCATGTATGTAAGATCTCATGTATGTGTGTCATGTTTGTAAGATCTCATGTGTGTGTGCCATGTATGTAAGATCTCATGTGTGTGTCATGTATGTAAGATCTCATGTATGTGTGTCATGTATGTAAGATCTCATGTATGTGTGCCATGTATGTAAGATCTCATGTATGTGTGTCATGTATGTAAGATCTCATGTATGTGTGTCATGTATGTAAGATCTCATGTATGTGTGCCATGTATGTAAGATCTCATGTATGTGTGTTATGTATGTAAGATCTCATGTATGTGTGCCATGTATGTAAGATCTCATGTATGTGTGCCATGTATGTAAGATCTCATGTATGTGTGCCATGTATGTAAGATCTCATGTATGTGTGCCATGTATGTAAGATCTCATGTATGTGTGTCATGTATGTAAGATCTCATGTATGTGTGTCATGTATGTAAGATCTCATGTATGTGTCAAATGTTTCAGAAAATCTACTTAAAGGTAGCATAGCCACAGAAGGCAGTCTCACAGAGAAGGGAGACAAGGTGAGGGACAGCGTTCGCTTTGATGAGATTGAGAAAGGAGACACTGGAGGCGATTCTGATGATTCTGTGAGTAGTTTTCTGTTCCTGAGTCTATGGATATGAAACTGTCATGTTTTTGTGTCCTGAGTCTATGGCTATGAAACTGTCATGTTTTGTGTCCTGAGTCTATGGCTATGAAACTGTCATGTTTTGTGTCCTGAGTCTATGGCTATGAAACTGTCATGTTTTGTGTCCTGAGTCTATGGCTATGAAACTGTCATGTTTTGTGTCCTGAGTATGTGGGTATGAAACTGTCATGTTTTGTGTCCTGAGTCTATGGCTATGAAACTGTTATGTTTTGTGTCCTGAGTCTATGGCTATGAAACTGTCATGTTTTGTGTCCTGAGTCTGTGGGTATGCAACTGTCATGTTTTGTATTCTGAGTCTATGGCTATGAAACTGTCATGTTTTGTGTCCTGAGTATGTGGGTATGAAACTGTCATGTTTTGTGTCCTGAGTCTGTGGGTATGAAACTGTCATGTTTTCTGTCCTGAGTCTGTGGGAATGAAACTGTCATGTTTTTGTCCTGAGTCTGTGGGTATGAAATGACCATGTTTTATGGGTTGACTCTATGGGTATGAAATTATGTTTTCTGGGCTGGGTTTGAAATAATCTTGTTGTATCAGTGCCATGTAAGAATAGCTAATATGGAATACATCAAAGACCTGTTATGGAGAACTCACCAGGGACCCAAGATATCATTCTTTTTATCAGAAATTGCTCTTTCCAGGTAAGAGTTTGAGCAAGAAAAATTCTACAGAATAAAATTGTTCTTACAGCAGAAGTTCGCCACATCTGACATCACCTTTGGCGATCTGCACTGTGTATGAATCTTCTATACATGCCAGGAGGACAGATTAGTCTCACGTTTGAGTCTATGTGACTATATATATCACTGGACTATTAACCTAGTTTTGTTTATTCACATGCCAGGAGGACAGATTAGTCTCACGTTTGAGTCTATGTGACTATATATATCACTGGACTATTAACCTAGTTTTGTTTATTCACATGCCAGGAGGACAGATTAGTCTCACGTTTGAGTCTGTGTGACTATATATCACTGGACTATTAACCTTGTTTTGTTTATTCACATGCCAGGAGGACAGATTAGTCTCACGTTTGAGTCTATGTGACTATATAAATCACTGGACTATTAACCTAGTTTTGTTTATTCACATGCCAGGAGGACAGATTAGTCTCACGTTTGAGTCTATGTGACTATATAAATCACTGGACTATTAACCTAGTTTTGTTTATTCACATGCCAGGAGGACAGATTAGTCTCACGTTTGAGTCTGTGTGACTATAAATCACTGGACTATTAACCTTGTTTTGTTTATTCACATGCCAGGAGGACAGATTAGTCTCACGTTTGAGTCTGTGTGACTATATATCACTGGACTGTTAACCTAGTTTTGTTTATGTGAACAGTTTTTATTGAGACAATGATGTGATTGTTTTCCATTGCCTTGCACACAAGTGGATCATGTGAAGAACTATGACTTTTCAGAATCCATTTGTCCGCCATGACACACCTCACCCGAAGGATCTCAAGGCCAGACATACCAAGTTCCTCAAGGACAAGAACATTGATGGACATGTGATCCCTCATCACGAGAACAAAGCTGAGGTCAGTTCTTGCTTATGTTGTTCTTGTGATTTTTTGAGGCTTATGTTCTTGTGATGTTTCTGTGGTCATTTGTTTTTTTGTTTGCTGACTTTTTCTCTTGGCTGAATTGAGGCTAACTCTATGAGATGTTGCCATTGCTAGATAGGGTGCCATGTATATGAGTTCAGGTCATCCAGTGGAGACATATCTCCTGTGCCAATCAGGTAATCTCACCAAGTGAAGTTAATCAAAGAGTCAGTCTCTGCTTGTTGCCCAAATAGAAGGTAGGCATGGGGTCTCTGCTTGTTGTCCCTGCAGAAAGTAAGCGTGGGACCTCTGCTTGTTGTCCATGTAGAAGGTAGGCATGGGGTCTCTGCTTGTTGTCCATGTAGAAAGTAGGTGTAGGACCTCTGCTTGTTGTCCATGTAGAAGGTAGGCGTGGGACCTCTGCTTGTTGTCCATGTAGAAGGTAGGCGTGTGATCTCTGCTTGTTGTCCATGTAGAAGGTAGGCGTGGGGTCTCTGCTTGTTGTCCATGTAGAAGGTAGGCGTGGGACCTCTGCTTGTTGTCCATGTAGAAGGTAGGCGTGTGATCTCTGCTTGTTGTCCATGTAGAAGGTAGGCGTGGGATCTCTGCTTGTTGTCCATGTAGAAGGTAGGCGTGGGACCTCTACTTGTTGTCTGTGTAGAAAGTAGACGTGGGACCTCTGCTTGTTGTCCATGTAGAAGGTAGGCATGAGACCATTTTTTATATTTTATTATTGAGATGTATGCAACATTATTCTTCTGATTTTTGTAGGCTGATATTCTTATCCTTTTCTTCTTCATGTTTGCCAGCTGGTAACTCCAGCGGAAAGTTCTGGTTGTTCATCCACTTCTGAACTCTAGTCCTCTTCATGAAAATGAGTATTGTCTGCACATCCATTTTACAGATCTGACTTATGTGTGTGCAGACTGTTGTTTTCTTGCCTTTCTGGCAGATTCACTTCCAAGGATCTCCTCAATTAGTCCACTTTTAAAACATGCTTTTGGGGAGGCAATGTCTCTTTTCTTGTTTTTTTTTTCCCACAATGGGACCCCAGAACCCACACATAGAATATTGTTCGTATGTTTGTTAGAAGCCTATGATGTTCTTGGGATTGTTAGAGGCTTATGTTGTTCTTGGGATTGTTTGAGGCTTATGATGTTCTTGTGATTGTTTGAGGCTTATGTTGTTCTTGTGATTGTTAGAGGCTTATGTTGTTCTTGTGATTGTTAGAGGCTTATGTTGTTCTTGTGATTGTTAGAGGCTTTTGTTGTTCTTGCGATTGTTTGAGGCTTATGTTGTTCTTGGGATTGTTAGAGGCTTATGTTGTTCTTGTGATTGTTTGAGGCTTATGTTGTTCTTGGGATTGTTAGAGGCTTATGTTGTTCTTGTGATTGTTTGAGGCTTATGTTGTTCTTGTGTCTGAGGCTTATGTTCTTGGGATTGTTAGAGGCTTATGTTGTTCTTGTGATCGTTTGAGGCTTATGTTGTTCTTGGGAATGTTTGGGGCTTATGTTATTCTTGTGATTTTTTAAGGCCTATGTTCTTGTGATTGTTTGAGACTTATGATGTTCTTTTGATTGTTTGAGGCTTATGTTGTTCTTGAAGCTTGTATTATTATTGTGATTGAACCTTCAAAAGAGAGAGAGAGAGTGTGTGTGTTTGTGTGTGCGCGCACGCATATACACATTAGATGACTTTGTTCTTGTCACTCCAGAGTGGGACATTTGTGCCGTCACGAGACCAAGATTCTCACTACTCCGATGACGAGGAAGGTCCAGGGCCCTACTATCGAGATCTACATAAAGAACCTCCACCTGCCACTCATCTCAACTCAACCTACACAAAATCATTTGACAACAAACAGCCGTCGCCAAAGCCTCGACCTCCAGAAATTATCATAGGTAAGTGGGACTGCCAGCCATAGCTTTAGTCCCAGTAACAATGTCAGCAACTGACACCAATGTCATTTTTGTCTTCTGTTAGTAGCACCTGAAATAAAAATAAAGGTTATGTTAACAGGGGGGTCACTGTATGAGGGCAGGCCTAGTGAGCTCAGACCAGACACTAGGAGCAGAAAATGTTGTCAGTAAATTCATCATGTTACAGACACAGAATGAAGTGTTCCCACCTATGCCCTGAAAATTTGCTGACAGCCAGAAAACTCAGTGACAGAGAATTTGGTGACATCTAGAAAATTTGTTGACAGAATTTGTGACAGCTAGAAAAGTCAAGGCAGCTAAAAAAAACTTGGTGACAGAGAATTTGGTGACACCTCAAAAACTTGGTGACAGAGAATTTGGTGACAACTCAAAAACTTGGTGACAGAGAATTTGGTGACAACTCAAAAACTTGGTGACAGAGAATTTGGTGACAACTCAAAAACTTGGTGACAGAGAATTTGGTGACAACTCAAAAACTTGGTGACAGCTAGAAAACTTGGTGACAATTTGGTGACAGCTAGAAAACTTGATGGCAAAAGATCAAGTGTTCAGACAAAGACTATGATTCTGATTCTGTATATCTGTTTATTGCCACAGCTCCAGAATTAGAGGGAGCCCCTCCACCAGAAGTACCCTCAGAATCCTCCTCCTCAGAAGATGAACTGCCATACGAGTCACAGCCGCTGATCACCAACAAGACACCCACACCCATGGTTCATATAGCCAACGAAGTCGATGAGATTGATGACTCCAGAGATGTGGACACAGACCAGGAGAATTCAGGCTCTGAGAGGCTTCATAGAAGCTCAGACAAGGATTCTGACAATGAAGTGAGTACTGTTTGGCAGCTAGAGGTGTCTGGGTGGCACATCTGAGTCTGTTGCTTGTACTGGGTCAGGGTTCTGTTACTTGTACTGGGTCAGGGTTATGTTACTTGTACTGGGTCAAGGTATAGCATCACTTCCACTGGTTTGCTGCCACAATTTCCCAGAATTCTGAAAATGAAGGTTTAGGTTTGAAAGATTCAAATCCAGACAGCTTGCCAGGTCATCAAGCAGATTAATTACTGTTCCAGCAGGTTCTTGGATGAGATGTATAGAGTGAGCAGGAAGTCTTTGCATGTGTGTAGGTGAATGCTTCAAGTGGGTTGAGGCTGCAGGGCTCAGGAAGTCTTTGCATGTGTGTGGGTTGAGGCTGCAGGGCTCAGGAAGTCCTTGCATGTGTGTGGGTTGAGGCTGCAGGGCTCAGGAAGTCCTTGCATGTGTGCATGCAGGTGAATGCTTCAGGTGGGTTGGAGCTGCAGGGCTCAGGAAGTCCTTGCATGTGTGCAGGTGAATGCTTCAGGTGGGTTGAGGCTGCAGGGCTCAGGAAGTCCTTGCATGTGTGCAGGTGAATGCTTCAGGTGGGTTGGAGCTGCAGGGCTCAGGAAGTCCTTGCATGTGTGCAGGTGAATGCTTCAGGTGGGTTGGAGCTGCAGGGCTCAGGAAGTCCTTGCATGTGTGCAGTTGAATGCTTTAAGTGGGTTGGAGCTGCAGGGCTCAGGAAGTCCTTGCATGTGTGCAGGTGAATGTGGGTTGAGGCTGCAGGGCTCAGGAAGTCCTTGCATGTGTGCAGGTGAATGCTTCAGGTGGGTTGAGGCTGCAGGGCTCAGGAAGTCCTTGCATGTGTGCAGGTGAATGTGGGTTGAGGCTGCAGGGCTCAGGAAGTCCTTGCATGTGTGCAGGTGAATGCTTCAGGTGGGTGGAGGCTGCAGTGCTCAGGAAGTCCTTGCATGTGTGTGGGTGAATGCTTCAGGTGGGTTGAGGCTACAGGGCTCAGGAAGTCCTTGCATGTGTGCAGGTGAATGCTTCAAGTGGGTTGAGGCTACAGGGCTCAGGAATTCCTTGCATGTGTCCAGGTGAATGCTTCAGGTGGGTTGGAGGCTGCAGGGCTCAGGAAGTCTTTGCATGTGTGTAGGTGAATGCTTCAGGTGGGTTGGTGTAATGTGTATGTTATGTTTAATTGTATGTTTTGTTGTCTTGTGTGTTGTATTTGATGTGTTGTTTGTTTATTTGAATGTTATATTTAGTCCACTTATATGTTATCTGTATGTATATTGTGTTTACTTGTGTTTTGTTTGATGTATGTTTACTTCCATGTTATGTTAACTCGTATGTTATTTTACTTGGGCTTTCTTTCCTTGTATCTTATGTTCAGTTACACTTATGTGTATGTATGTTATGTTTACTTGTGTGTTATACTTACCTGTATGTAGTACTGATATGCTTTTCTGATGCCTATGTTCTCTCCCGCCAGAGTGTTCTCAGAGACCGCAAGGTCGGCTTCGCCCCAGACTCGGAGAAGCTCAGCGAGGACCACAAGCTGAGGCGCAGGGACACCCCTCACTACCTCAAGAACAAACGAGTCAATAAGGAGGAGGATGCTGAACAGAAGGTTCTGGAAATTCTGGCTCAGGCGGCTAAAAACCGAGACAATGCTGCTATGTCACCCGTGGTGAAGGTGAGTGTTCCAGTGCTATGCCTCTAGTGACAATACATTACAAGGGGTTATGGCTGTAAGGCGCCATTCTGTTCAGAATTGGAAGCAAAGTGGGAAAGAATGAAGAGGAAATAAGATAAAGACATAAAAAAGAAATACAGAAAAAAAGTGGGGGGGGGGGGGGATGGGGCAGAATGTGTCGTCAGAAAAGAAAAACAAGAACATGTAGTGAATGAGAGGAACAGACAAGACAGCTAGAGGGAGACGGAAAGTTAAAAACAGGTGAGGGAATGAGTAATAGGATTGTTAGAGCCAGTGCTAGGAGTGGTGAGATAGAGATTAATTGATTGTCAAGTATATAGCACCTTAAAGCTTTTTGTTCCTAACAGCATAAAATAGAGGAGGGACTGGGAGCCTAAGACTGTGAACGAAGACATGTTTGTTGATGTCACACACACAAGATGACAGAGTACATGGCCTGGGATCGAAGAGGAGAGGTCAAGAAGCTGGAGGATATGACTGATTGTAGTCTGATATCACCTGAATCTGTCTGTCTGTCCACGCCAGTTATTGTATGGATCAAATAGTCATTTCTGTCTCTGTGTTAATGCCCTGGTAATTTCTGGGTGTTCCCCTCAGCCGCCAGAGCTGGAGGTCATGTCGGTGCAGGCTCCAGCGACCCAGCAGATGCCGGTCAAGGTCCAGGAAGAAGAACTGACCACTTACATCCACAGGGAACCTGGACAAGGGTTAGGCATCAGCATTGCTGGAGGCAAGGGTTCTACACCATTCAGGGGTGATGATGAGGTATGCTTGTGTTGTGTGTGTTTGTGAGAGCCGTTTGTTTCCTCTAGTGGCGGGTCCCAGAATAAGCATGTTTCCTCTGTGGTGGGTCCCAGAATAAGCATGTTTTTGGACTGTGTGATTTCCCAGTCAATAAGCATGTTTCCTCTGTGGTGGGTCCCAGAATAAGCATGTTTCCTCTGTGGTGGGTCCCAGAATAAGCATGTTTCCTCTGTGGTGGGTCCCAGAATAAGCATGTTTCCTCTGTGGTGGGTCCCAGAATGGATTGCAGCAGTTCAGTATTAGCAGCAGATTGCTTTTCACCTAAGCTTGTGGAGCTCTGAACCATGTAGTATCTCACCTGACCTTCTTCAGGGTTCTGCAGTTTCCCTAGAACTGTTTCATGTGTACACAAGCCGTCTAATGGCAGTCAAGGCAGTGGGTGTAGGGAGAATCTGGACTGTGCTGCAGATGTGTGAGTCTACAGACAAGGTAGAAATACAATAGAAATATTGAAACTGGTGTCCTGCTTGCAGAATGTCTTGACAGACTCAGCAGGCATTGAAACATTGAAACTAGTGTCCTGCTTGCAGAATGGCTTGACAGACTCAGCAGGCATTGAAACATTGAAACTAGTTTCTGCTTGCAGAATGGCTTGACAGACTCAGCAGACTTTGAAACATTGAAACTAGTGTCTGCTTGCAGAATGGCTTGACAGACTCAGCAGGCATTGAAACATTGAAACTGGTGTCCTGCTTGCAGAATGTCTTGACAGACTCAGCAGGCATTGAAACATTGAAACTAGTGTCTGCTTGCAGAATGTCTTGACAGACTCAGCAGGCATTGAAACATTGAAACTAGTGTCTGCTTGCAGAATGGCTTGACAGACTCAGCAGGCATTGAAACATTGAAACTAGTGTCTGCTTGCAGAATGGCTTGACAGACTCAGCAGACATTGAAACTAGTGTCTGCTTGCAGAATGTCTTGACAGACTCAGCAGGCATTGAAACATTGAAACTAGTGTCTGCTTGCAGAATGGCTTGACAGACTCAGCAGGCATTGAAACATTGAAACTAGTGTCTGCTTGCAGAATGTCTTGACAGACTCAGCAGGCATTGAAACATTGAAACTAGTGTCTGCTTGCAGAATGGCTTGACAGACTCAGCAGACATTGAAACGTGTGTCCTGCTTGCAGAATGTCTTCACAGACTCAGCAGACATTGAAACGTGTGTCCTGCTTGCAGAATGTCTTGACAGACTCAGCAGGCATTGAAACATTGAAACGTGTGTCCTGCTTGCAGAATGTCTTCACAGACTCAGCAGACATTGAAACGTGTGTCCTGCTTGCAGAATGGCTTGACAGACTCAGCAGACATTGAAACGTGTGTCCTGCTTGCAGAATGTCTTCACAGACTCAGCAGACATTGAAACGTGTGTCCTGCTTGCAGAATGTCTTGACAGACTCAGCAGGCATTGAAACATTGAAACGTGTGTCCTGCTTGCAGAATGGCTTGACAGACTCAGCAGACATTGAAACATTGAAATGTGTGTCCTGCTCACAGAGTGGCTTGCATCACTTGATGAGACACAGATCAGGGGCATAGCAGTATTTTCTGTTTAGGATCTTTAGTTGTGCAGGCTGATATATTAGCTGTTGCCCTGGGCGATGAGCTGCGTTATGATAAAGCAGGTCGAAAAAAACAATATGTATTATCCGACACATGCTATAAACCCTTTTATAGAATGTGTTTAACACAGCCTTTTATAGACTGGAATAGAACATTTTACAGTCATTTGGACCTAAATCAAGTGTCGTTTTCAGTGCTGAATTAGACACGTTCTCGTGATTAATGGCATTTGTGTTGTTGTTGACACTTTAGGTTGAGTAGCAGCACCCTTTGTGTAGGAAACATGCTAGTATATACTAAAGTGAAACCTCATTAACACAAGGACCTGGAAAATCAAGAGTTCTTGTAAAAAGCAATTTCTGCTAGCCGAGACTTCTTCTTCTTCAGCCTTTCTATCCCCCAATGGAGCATAGGCTCTCAACCAACTCATGCCAAGTCGTTCTATCCTTCGCCATTACATGAAGCTCTCCTCCTCATCTTTCTAACTTTATTCTCCACCTCTCTTCTCCATATGTTTTTTGGCCTTCCTTTATGCCTATGCCCCTGTGGGTTCCAATGCAAAGACATTCTAGTTATGCTGTTCCCTCAGTGTGTGTCCTATCCAACACCAGCATCTTTTCCTCACCTCTTGGTCCACTGGAGCTGGCCAAGACTAGTAAGTAAAGTAAAGTAAAGATCCCTTTTCACTCCTTTCGGCGCATCGGGCATATGGGCAGAGCGTCCCATATTTTTACAGACCATCAGCACTCTGTGGGTAATGTAGTCAGCATTACGCCGGCTGTCTTTACTTTCCCAGGACAGCCCATCCTGGTACCCATTTTAGGCTGGGTCGACCTGCGACGTCCCATACCACGATAAAAATCCACGCAGCCTGCAGTGGGTTTCGATCGCGGTGTGCTGGCTTATGAGTAGTACACACACATTAATACTAGTATATTGTTTGCTGAGGCCAAAATTGTTTCATGTAAACCAAGTGTTTGTCTTTGGTGAGTTTGTGTTTTTTGCTTTACTTTGGTGGTAGCATGTTGTGGTTGTTGTTGATGACATTGTATGCCTGGCTTCAGCCGTGATCATCCCACATTTGTATTTGTATGTTGTTGTCCATCAGGGCATCTTCATCTCTCGTGTGTCGGAGGATGGTCCCGCAGCCAAGGCAGGGATCCTCAAGGGAGACAAACTGTTGAAGGTGTGTATTGTAGGACAGTCACCGGATCTGTGGACAGTGCTAGCAGCACCTCACCTCATGTTATGGTGTCCACATCTTGTTGATCATTGTGTCTGTAGTCATTCATCTGTGTCCACATCTTGTTGATCATTGTGTCTGTAGTCATTCATCTGTGTCCACATCTTGTTGATCATTGTGTCTGTAGTCATTCGTCTGTGTCCACATCTTGTTGATCATTGTGTCTGTAGTCATTCATCTGTGTCCATATCTTGTTGATCATTGTGTCTGTAGTCATTGATCTGTGTCCACATCTTGTTGATCATGTGGTGCTTCATAGTCATTGATCTGTGTCCACATCTTGTTGATCATTGTGTCTGTAGTCATTGATCTGTGTCCATATCTTGTTGATCATTGTGTCTGTAGTCATTGATCTGTGTCCACATCTTGTTGATCATTGTGTCTGTAGTCATTCGTCTGTGTCTGTAGTCATTCATCTGTGTCCGTAGTCATTCATCTGTGTCCACATCTTGGTCAGTTACAGTGATGGGAGTAGATCACAACAGATGGTCAGTTACAGTGATGGGAGTAGATCACAACAATTGGTCAGTTACAGTGAAGGGAGTAGATCACAACAGATGGTCAGTTACTGTGATGGGAGTAGATCACAACCGATGGTCAGTTACAGTGATGGGAGTAGATTAAAAAAAAACGATGTGTCCGATCCAGCTTTGCCAGGTTGCAGTTTGTTTCTGGCAAGTATTGTCTTATATATCACCCTTATATTGTCAGTGTTTCTGGCAAGTATTGTCTTATATATCACCTTATATTGTCAGTGTTTCTGGCAAGTATTGTCTTATATATCACCCTTATATTGTCAGTGTTTCTGGCAAGTATTGTCTTATATATCACCCTTATATTGTCAGTGTTTCTGGCAAGTATTGTCTTATATATCACCCTTATATTGTCAGTGTTTCTGGCAAGTATTGTCTATATACTCACCCTTATATTGTCAGTGTTTCTGGCAAGTATTGTCTTTTATATATCACCCTATATTGTCAGTGTTTCTGGCAAGTATTGTCTTATATATCACCCTTATATTGTCAGTGTTTCTGGCAAGTATTGTCTTATATATCACCCTTATATTGTCAGTGTTTCTGGCAAGTATTGTCTTATATATCACCCTTATATTGTCAGTGTTTCTGGCAAGTATTGTCTTATATATCACCCTTATATTGTCAGTGTTTCTGGCAAGTATTGTCGTATATATCACCCTTATATTGTCAGTGTTTCTGGCAAGTATTGTCTTATATATCACACCTTATATGTCAGTGTTTAACTGGCAAGTATTGTCTTATATCTGTTTCCTATATTGACAGTGTTTGGGCAAGTATTGTATATATATCACCCTTATATTGTCAGTGTTTCTGGCAAGTATTGTCTTATATATCACCGTTATATTGTCAGTGTTTCTAGGCAAGTATTGTCTTATATATCACCATATATTGTCAGTGTTTCTGGCAAGTATTGTCTTATATATCACCCTTATATTGTCAGTGTTTCTGGCAAGTATTGCAGTATATATCACCCTTATATTGTCAGTGTTTCTGGCAAGTATTGTCGTATATATCACCTTTATATTGTCAGTGTTTCTGGCAAGTATTGTCTTATATATCACCCTTATATTGTCAGTGTTTCTGGCAAGTATTGTCGTATATATCACCCTTATATTGTCAGTGTTTCTGCCTCTGGGTCCCAGGAGTCCATTTTGGAGAACAAGGAATATACCTGCTGCGCCCCCCCCCCCCCCCCCACCCCCCTCTTCCCTTCCCCATCCTAACAGGCATGTTGTGGGAGTTGACTTATTATTGGTGTTTCCTTCAAAAGGAAGTGACTTACCTGAGAGAGAGGTGAGGAACCAACAGTCTGCCTACTGATAAGCCAGATCTGTGAAATAGATGTGCACACAAAACTCAAGTTCTGGATAAAGATCAAAGTCCAGGAGTGGACAAACAACCAGAACTTTCTGCCGGAGTTTACAGCCAATTAACACTAAGATGAAGAAGAAGAAATTTATGTTGAGGATCTGTATTTCCAGGTCAGTCACCTGATCTATGTAAATCAGCCAGTAAGTTATCCCTGTGCAGGTCAACGAGGAAAGCCTGGTCAGTGCTGACCACTACAAGGCCGTGGAGGTACTCAGAGTTATGTGTATAGACCTGTTTTCCCCCTCAGGTCTCTGTTGGTGAGTGTAGAGTTGTGTATAGACCCGTTTTCCCCCTCAGGTCTCTGTTGGTGAGTGTAGAGTTGTGTATAGACCTGTTTTCCCTCTCAGGTCTCTGTTGGTGAGTGTAGAGTTGTGTATAAACCTGTTTTCCCCCTCAGGTCTCTGTTGGTGAGTGTAGAGTTGTGTATAGACCTGTTTTCCCCCTCAGGTCTCTGTTGGTGAGTGTAGAGTTGTGTATAGACCCGTTTTCCCCCTCTCTCTGTTGGTGAGTGTAGAGTTGTGTATAGACCCGTTTTCCACCTCTGGTCTCTGTTGGTGAGTGTAGAGTTGTGTATAGACCTGTTTTCCCCCTCTGGTCTCTGTTGGTGAGTGTAGAGTTGTGTATAGACCTGTTTTCTCCCTCAGGTCTCTGTTGGTGAGTGTAGAGTTGGGAGAAACTGACAAGTGCACATTATTGTATAGAGTTGTTGTTTGTGTGTTTGCAGGCAACAGAAGCAGAGGAATCTACCCATACAAATATGACGACAGTCTCCTTCACTGCTGAACCTGAGACGGAAGTTTATGGTGAGGTAAGTCTTCACCAGCCGCTCCTTCTCTCTCATGTTTGGCATATATAGATAAGGTTTGCTGGAGGTAAGTGCTAGCAGTTACAGTTGCAAGGAAATTATGAATTAATCAAGTAACAAAAAGTTTTGTGATTGGCATACATAGAAAGAAGTAGAAAGATAGAACACACTAGACAACATAAAAATCGAAAGCTATAGTTACCGTGCCGGGAATTGAACCTGTCACCTCCAGACGGCATCTGTGCCTCGCCATGAATACAAGTGCACTACTAAGATACATGGTCAACTAGGCACCCCCCAAAAAAAGGTGTCTTATTGGCCATGTTGCTCGATAGACATGGCCAATAAGACACCTTTTTTGGGGGGTGCCTAGTTGACCATGTATCTTAGTGCACTTGTATTCGATAGACATGGCCAATAAGACACCTTTTTTGGGGGGTGCCTAGTTGACCATGTATCTTAGTGCACTTGTATTCATGGCGAGGCGCAGACGCCGTCTGGATGTGACAGGTTCAATTTCCGGCACAGTAACTATAGCTTTCGATTTTTATGTTGTCTAGTGTGTTCTTCTATCTTTCTACTTCTTTCTATGGGTGCCAATCACAAAACTTTCTGTTACTTGATTAATTCATAATATTTAACGGCCTCAAAAGGTTCCCACCTCTGTTTATTTAGTGGCAAGGAAAGTAGTTATAAGTGGATGAAATCATCAGATCAGGGTGCATCTGTTTAGTGAAATGATAATGAGATAAATAAATTAGATTGTAACAGGATCAAGTTAGAAGTAGTTGTTGGATTGTGTGTCTGTACTTGTTGGAATTGTGTTTTTAATTGTTGGATGAAATGTTTACAGTTGTTGGATTGTGTGTGTAGTTTTTGAAACAAGTATTTGCAGTTGTTGGATTGTTTGTGCACTTGTTAGGATTGTGTATTTAATTGTTGGATCAAATATTTACAGTTGTTGGATTCTGTGTGCAGTTTTTGGATCAAGTGTTTATTGTTGTTGAATTGCATATGTAACTTTTGTATTTGTGAATGTTGGATTGTAAATGTAATAGTTTGATTGTTTATGTAATTGTTCGATTGTAATTGTTGGCTCTCACATTGAGTATTTAAACTTGAATATTTTGTGTGTGTTGCAGACGGTGACAACCACTTTAATCCGCGACCATACTGGACTGGGCTTCAGCATCGCAGGGGGTCGAGGGTCGGTGCCGTTCAAAGGAAATGATAATGTAAGTATCTGTAGACCAGGAGTAGAAGATTACAGAGTAAATCTGCTGTGTCCACTTGATTGTCCTGGCTTAAGGTTGTGTTATCTCTTTGTAATCTACAGGGTCTAGTATAATCTACAGGGTCTAGTATAATCTACAGGGTCTAGTATAATCTACAGGGTCTAGTATAATCTACAGGGTCTAGTATAATCTACAGGGTCAAATTTTGTGAGCAAGGCTTAATTTTGTTTGTAAGGTCTAGTGATCAGATTTGACCTGTGCACACTTTGTCCATGGATGGCCTTTAGTCGGATCTTGATGTGTGAGAGTTAGTCCTGTCGTGCTACTTTGTGGAGTCACCAGCTAACTGTTGATTGTAGGAGCTGTTGGAGAGGGAGAGAAAAACAGCAATCTGTGGAGAAGGGTAATTGTGGCCTGCAACATTTGTGAAGGAAAGATGACCCATTAGTTTGAAGATCTCCTGCACATCTATAATCTGTCAGCTGTATGTGTGTGTGTATACATGTATGTGTGTGTATTTATATTTGAATGTGTGTATGTATATAAATAATATAAATGTATATGTGTATATTCATATATGACTGTATGTGTGTATGTTTGTATATAAATACTATGTTGTGTTTGGGTATGTGACATATGTGAAAGCATATGTGGTTTGTGAGTATGTGAAAGCATATTTGGTCTGTGAGTATGTGAAAGAATATGTGGTCTGTATGTAAAAGCGTCTGTGAGTATGTGAAAGCATATGTGGTCTTTATGTGAAAGCATATGTGGTCTGTGAGTATGTGAAAGCATATGTGGTTTGTATGTGAAAGCAGAGATGTTGCTGACTGCACTGGTCTTTTTGTGCCTCTGTTTCAGAAGATGGTCAATCTGTTAGAGGTTGGTATCATTGACTCGTATGGTGCTGGTTTGTGGGTGTTCTCCACCAGTGGTTTTTGTTTGTGCTTCAGTTTACTTCTACAGTTTGGTCTTGTTGTTTCCTTGTTTATTTCCTAGGTTCCCCAGCATGAGATTGCATGACCTCGTTTGTAGTGCTTGTTTTCCTTTCGGACATTTCTCTTGTTCACAATCTTTTTGTGCCCACACTTTTAGTAGATTTGCAACATGGAACATAGCCACATCAAGGTTGACACAGTTAGATGGGCGCTGATGTATTGGGAAATAAACAGGCAGACAGATTGGCAGGTTCTGCATCTTTTGATGGTTTAGTGATGCGTGACAGGCTAGATATGGTCGGCCTGTTCGGGAGCAAGTGAACAGTACAGATGCACCTATAGATCATCATGGTCTGGCTGTTTGGGAGCAAGTGAACAGTACACAAGCACCTATAGATCATCATGGTCTGGCTGTTTGGGAGCAAGTGAACAGTACAGATGTACCTATAGATCATCATGGTCTGACTGTTTGGGAGCAAGTGAACAGTACAGATGCACCTATAGATCATCATGGTCTTGCTGTTTGGGAGCAAGTGAACAGTACAGATGCACTTATAGATCATCATGGTCTTGCTGTTTGGGAGCAAGTGAACAGTACAGATGCACCTATAGATCATCATAGTCTGGCTGTTTGGGAGCAAGTGAACAGTACACAAGCACCTATAGATCATCATGGTCTGGCTGTTTGGGAGGAAGTGAACAGTACAGATGCACCTATAGATCATCATGGTCTGGAAAAAATGGTACATTGGAACTAACCCTCAACATTCAAAGGAAAGGCAAGATGGACATATAAAGACACTACTGCTGCTACCACCAGAGTCAGAACTCTGCACTGGTTACTGAAGATGGCATGAAAGTGCTGATGGACAAGTCTGGGTAAAAGATGCCTTGAAAGTGCTAATGGACAAGTCTGGGTAAAAGATGCCTTGAAAGTGCTAATGGACAAGTCTGGGTAAAAGATGGCTTGAAAGTGTTGATGGACAAGTCTGGGTAAAAGATGCCTTGAAAGTGCTGATGGACAAGTCTGGGTAAAAGATGCCTTGAAAGTGCTGATGGACAAGTCTGGGTAAAAGATGCCTTGAAAGTGCTAATGGACAAGTCTGGGTAAAAGATGGCTTGAAAGTGTTGATGGACAAGTCTGGGTAAAAGATGGCTTGAAAGTGCTGATAGACAAGTTTGGGTAAAAGATGACTTAAAAGTGCTTATGGACAAGTCTGGGTAAAAGATGACTTGAAAGTGCTGATGGACAAGTCTAGGTAAAAGATAGCTTGAAAGTGCTGATGGACAAGTCTGGGTTAAACAAGGATGTACTAAAATACTTGTATTGATGCTTGCCTCTGTTTCCTTGTGCATGCATGTGCTGGTTGGTGTGCTACAGTTGCTGTGTTATGGTTGATGTGTTAAGTGTCCAGACTAAAGTGACCAGCTGCTGACCAAGGCATGATGACAGCATTTAGATGTCAGAGTAGCCTTAGCATTTCTTAACCCTTTTGTCCAGTACGAATCTTAAAAAATGAACTTTTTAAAATTTAATTAAAAAAAAATATTAGAAAACAGCTGCCTCTTGCTTATAATCCTCTGAACCCCTACCCTGAGAAACTAAAGGAAGATAAAAGAATGAGAAGAGATTTAGGATGTTTATTTAAAAAACCTGAGCTGTTAAAATCTATATCCACTAAACAGACTGGCAAATGTGATAGCAATGCCATATTGCAGGCATCAGATTATACTCAAATAATTTATATACACTTTTTCTGTTATCTCTTGATTACAAAAAAAAAATTTGTTTTTTATATAATGAAATTAATCATTAAATACAAATAGAGTAGAGAATTAACTTACTTCCTTCCCTTTGACTAAGATCAACATGGTTTTGGTGAAGTGAAACATAGTGCAGTTGTGGCCATTACCAAAGCTGTTGCATAGGTCCAGTGGTCACTACCCAAAGACTCAGGCCTGTACCAAAGCTGTTGTATAGGTTTTAGTGGTCATTGCCCAAGACTCAGGCCAGTACCAAAGCTGTTGTAAAGGTCCAGTGGTCATTGCCCAAAGACTCAGGCCAGTACTAAAGCTGTTGTATAGCTTTTAGTGGTCATTGCCCAAAGACTCAGGCCAGTACTAAAGCTGTTGTATAGGTCCAGTGGTCATTGCCCAAAGACTCAGGCCAGTACTAAAGCTGTTGTATAGGTTTTAGTGGTCACTGCTCAAAGACTCAGGCCAGTACTAAAGCTGTTGTATAGGTTTTAGTGGTCACTGCTCAAAGACTCAGGCCAGTACCAAAGCTGTTGCATAGGTCCAGTGGTCATTGCCCAAAGACTCAGGCCAGTACTAAAGCTGTTGTATAGGTCCAGTGGTCACTGCTCAAAGACTCAGGCCAGTACTAAAGCTGTTGTATAGGTTTTAGTGGTCACTGCTCAAAGACTCAGGCCAGTACTAAAGCTGTTGTATAGGTCCAGTGGTCACTGCTCAAAGACTCAGGCCAGTACTAAAGCTGTTGTATAGGTCCAGTGGTCACTGCTCAAAGACTCAGGCCAGTACTAAAGCTGTTGTAAAGGTCCAGTGGTCACTGCTCAAAGACTCAGGCCAGTACTAAAGCTGTTGTATAGGTCCAGTGGTCACTGCTCAAAGACTCAGGCCAGTACTAAAGCTGTTGTAAAGGTCCAGTGGTCACTGCTCAAAGACTCAGGCCAGTACTAAAGCTGTTGTATAGGTTTTAGTGGTCACTGCTCAAAGACTCAGGCCAGTACTAAAGCTGTTGTATAGGTCCAGTGGTCACTGCTCAAAGACTCAGGCCAGTACTAAAGCTGTTGTATAGGTTTTAGTGGTCACTGCTCAAAGACTCAGGCCAGTACTAAAGCTGTTGTATAGGTCCAGTGGTCACTGCTCAAAGACTCAGGCCAGTACTAAAGCTGTTGTATAGGTCCAGTGGTCACTGCTCAAAGACTCAGGCCAGTACTAAAGCTGTTGTATAGGTTTTAGTGGTCACTGCTCAAAGACTCAGGCCAGTACTAAAGCTGTTGTATAGGTCCAGTGGTCACTGCTCAAAGACTCAGGCCAGTACTAAAGCTGTTGTATAGGTCCAGTGGTCATTGCCCAAAGACTCAGGCCAGTACTAAAGCTGTTGTAAAGGTCCAGTGGTCACTGCTCAAAGACTCAGGCCAGTACTAAAGCTGTTGTATAGGTTTTAGTGGTCACTGCTCAAAGACTCAGGCCAGTACTAAAGCTGTTGTATAGGTCCAGTGGTCACTGCTCAAAGACTCAGGCCAGTACTAAAGCTGTTGTATAGGTCCAGTGGTCATTGCCCAAAGACTCAGGCCAGTACTAAAGCTGTTGTAAAGGTCCAGTGGTCACTGCTCAAAGACTCAGGCCAGTACTAAAGCTGTTGTATAGGTTTTAGTGGTCACTGCTCAAAGACTCAGGCCAGTACTAAAGCTGTTGTATAGGTCCAGTGGTCACTGCTCAAAGACTCAGTGTCATCAAAAACCCATACATGCCAGAAGAGTTGGCTTTTTCTTGGCCACAGGATTATTCTTAGATGTTGCTAATATGTTCTTGAGCCTAGTTAATCAGCATCCCCTGTCATTCAGACAGTGTCTTTGTGTTGGCATGTTGCTGTTGTAGATTGGATTAGACAATATCGTCAAGTTGACATATTGACTGTTGTAGATTCAGTTAGACAGTGTCTTTAAGTTGACATATTGACTGTTTTAGTTTCAGTTAGACAGTGTCTTTAAGTTGACATATTGACTTTTATATATTCATTTAGACAGTGTTTTTAAGTTGACATATTGACTGTTGTAGATTCACTTAGACAGTGTCTTTAAGTTGACATATTGACTGTTTTAGTTTCAGTTAGACAGTGTCTTTAAGTTGACATATTAGCTGTTGTAGATTCAGTTGGACAGTGTATTTAAGTTGACATATTGACTGTTATATATTCATTTAGACAGTGTTTTTAAGTTGACATATTGACTGTTATATATTTATTTAGACAGTGTTTTTTAGTTGACATATTGACTGTTGTAGATTCAGTTAGACAGTGTTTGACTGTTATATATTCATTTAGACAGTGTTTTTAAGTTGACATATTGATTGTTATATATTCATTTAGACAGTGTTTTTAAGTTGACATATTGACTGTTATATATTCATTTAGACAGTGTTTTTAAGTTGACATATTGACTGTTATATATTCATTTAGACAGTGTTTTTAAGTTGACATATTGACTGTTATATATTCATTTAGACAGTGTTTTAAAGTTGACATATTGACTGTTATAGATTCAGTTAGACAGTGTTTGTAAGTTAATATTTTAATAGGCTGATTTAAAATATGGTAAACAAATGCTGGTCATCTTTACACGTTATAGTCACATTCTGTGGCTAGATGTATCAGCCACATATACATGTTATAGTCACATTCTGTGGCTGGATGTATCAGCCACCATTACATGTTATAGTCACATTCTGTGGCTGGATGTATCAGCCACCATTACATGAAATAGTCACGTTCAGTGGCCAGATGTATTAGCCACCATTACATGATATAGTCACGTTCAGTGGCCAGATGTATTAGCCACCATTACATGATATAGTCACATTCTGTGGCTGGATGTATCAGCCACCATTACATGTTATAGTCACGTTCAGTGGCCAGATGTATCAGCCACCGTTACATTTATTAGCCTAATGTGTTAGGGTAAAAGGTGCAGATATCTGACGCAGTAGACTTCACTGTCAAGTACTGTTTGCTCAGGAGCAAAAGAGAAAGGAGGTGAAATGGATGACAGAAAATAGGGAAGGGTTGCAAGAAGAACGGATAAGAACAAGATGAGAAAAGTAGGTCGTGGTAGACATGTCAGGCCTTGGCTTGACTTGTTGAGTGTAGTGACGGAGGGCTGGTGATTGAATGTTGTCGTTGTAGCTGTTGGTTGATGGCGTGGGCTACTATCAATAACTGGTTTGTCCAACGGTTGTCGTTGTAGCTGTTGGTTGATGGCGCGGGCTACTATCAATAACTGGTTTGTCCAACGGTTGTTGTTGTAGCTGTTGGGTGATGGCGCGGGCTACTATCACTAACTGGTTTGTCCAACGGTTGTCGTTGTAGCTGTTGGGTGATGGCGCGGGGTACTATCACTAACTGGTTTGTCCAACGGTTGTCGTTGTAGTTGTTGGTTGATGGCGCGGGCTACTATCAATAACTGGTTTGTCCAACGGTTGTCGTTGTAGTTGTTGGTTGATGGCGTGGGCTACTATCAATAACTGGTTTGTCCAACGGTTGTCGTTGTAGTTGTTGGTTGATGGCGTGGGCTACTATCAATAACTGGTTTGTCCAACGGTTGTCGTTGTAGTTGTTGGTTGATGGCGCGGGCTACTATCAATAACTGGTTTGTCCAACGGTTGTCGTTGTAGCTGTTGGTTGATGGCGTGGGCTACTATCACTAACTGGTTTGTCCAACGGTTGTCGTCCACAGGCGATCTACATCTCCAAGATCACACCAGGAGGAACGGCTGACAAGGACGGCAAGCTGCAGGTCGGGGATCGCATTGTTTCTGTGAGTATCTCATCTCAGCTCTCATTACCTACTTCAACCCACTTTCCCTTGTTTCTGTGAGTATCTCAGCTCTCATTACCTACTTCAACCCACTTTCCCTTGTTTCTATGAGTATCTCAGCTCTCATTACCTACTTCAACCTACTTCCTAGTGTTTCTGTGAGTATCTCAGCTCTCATTACCTACTTCAACCCACTTTCCCTTGTTTCTGTGAGTATCTCAGCTCTCATTACCTACTTTAACCCACTTTCCCTTGTTTCTGTGAGTATCTCAGCTCTCATTACCTACTTCAACCCACTTTCCCTTGTTTCTGTGAGTATCGCAGCTCTCATTACCTACTTAAACCCACTTTCCCTTGTTTCTGTGAGTATCGCAGCTCTCATTACCTACTTAAACCCACTTTCCCTTGTTTCTGTGAGTATCGCAGCTCTCATTACCTACTTAAACCCACTTTCCCTTGTTTCTGTGAGTAAATAAGCTCTCATTACCTACTTCAACCTACTTCCTAGTGTTTCTGTGATTATCTCAGCTCTCATTACCTACATCAACCCACTTTCTCTTTGTTTCTGTGAGTATGTCAGCTTTCATTACCTACTTCAGCCCAGTCTCTATTGTTTCTGTGAGTATATCAGCTCTCATTACCTACTTCAGCCCAGTCCCTATTGTTTCTGTGAGTACATCAGCTCTCATTACCTACTTAAACCCAGTCCCTATTGTTTCTGTGAGTATATCAGCTCTCATTACCTACTTCAGCCCAGTCCCTATTGTTTCTATGAGTATATCAGCTCTCATTACCTACTCCAACCATGGAGCTACGAGTTGGTGCTTTTTGCCACACTCTTGGCATGTGGCTAGCACCCCTTTGGGGAGAGACCCAGCCATCATTTGGGATAATGAATGAATCAAGAATTGACATCAGTGCACTCTGGACATTCTTACATGTGCTCCGTCCCCTTCTTCAGCAGCCAACAAAGAGCAGTCTGATTCAAAGTCTGCATGTTTCCCCTGCAGTGTTCAATACCTTCCAGAACCTCTCTCTACTCACACATCATTGAATGAGTCTTTCAGTGTGAGGATTCCCTATCTGCTCTTCTGCACCATCTATTTGATCCTATAGCACCTTTACTACATTTGCTTGACCTAATGGTAGCTCACCGCCAAGACTTGACAGCAGGAGCCAATCTATCAGCCGGCTGGCTACCACACACACCTGAATATCAAGTGATGCAAGCCATTCTGCAATTGCAGTTTTGCTAAGCGTGCTTTGTGAGTCTGTTACAATCACATCGCCGGGCCGAGCTCTTCACATCTGGATGGTAATGCAAGCATGTCTCGTGTGCACCCCAGAATGACTCGCATCTCTTCATTTGACATGTGTGTCTAACTTCTCTGTTTGGGTGTGAGATAATGTTAGCAACCCTAAACCTTACTCCGTCACTGAAATAATCAGTTGCTGGTAAATAGTCTGTAGGGCATTGTCTGTTCCATGTCAGTCTGTAGGGCATTGTCTGTTCCATGTCCGTCTGTAGGGCATTGTCTGTTCCATGTCCGTCTGTAGGGCATTGTCTGTTCCATGTCCGTCTGTAGGGCATTGTCTGTTCCATGTCCGTCTGTAGGGCATTGTCTGTTCCATGTCCACTGATGCCATCACCTTCAAAGAGTGCTTTCCCTGTCTTGAAAACAACTACTTGCACTTGGTGTTTGAAAGATGGACTTGTCAGAAGTCATTCCTAGATATCTTAGTGAATATATGGGATAACAACCTGGCACAGTGAAATTCTGTCTTCTAGACTGAAACCTTTTTTGTGGACCCTTTTACAGCTGACATGAGTGTCATCGTGTTTACTCAAGTTTGTTTCATTAGATTCGTTTGTCACTCTTGTGTGTTTTATCTGTAGTTTTCATCTTTTGGGGATCAAATCTAATGGGTTAGCTTGATGGCAATATTTCCACTACTGTGGCAAGTAGACACACACACACACAAACCTACATTTGTAGATAACTCTGATAATTAGCTGAAGGTTGCCAGTTTATTTCATTCAATCAAATATTAACACATAAACCTACATTTGTTAAAAACTTTGACATAAAGCTCAAGTTGTCAAGTTGATTTAGACACTAAGGTATACACACACACATAAACCTATGTTTGTAGATACCTGTGACAGTAAGCTAGAGGTTGTCAAGTTGATTAAGACACTTAGGTATATACACACACATAAACCTATGTTTGTAGTTACCTGTGACAGTAAGCTAGAGGTTGTCAAGTTGATTAAGACAGGTATATACACACACATAAACCTATGTTTGTAGTTACCTGTGACAGTAAGCTAGAGGTTGTCAAGTTGATTAAGACACTTAGGTATATACCCACACATAAACCTATGTTTGTAGTGGGCTGGACAGGACAATTAAACTGGTTGTTTATAGAGAAAAAGTGGTTCCTAAAGATGGCAAGGCAGAACCCCCAGCCGCAAACAGCCATCGAATACCCACGATTACCCAGCCGGTCATTAACTGGCAGCAAAGCAGCACCTCACCTGCCCGGACACCTAGTCCAGTGGGAGCTCAGCCTCCGCCTAGGTTGTCTCCCCATGCTGGCAGTGCAGTATCATATCATACTCAGCCATCCACGCCCCTCACACTCTCTAGTCCTGTACAAGTGTCTGTCAGGACTAGCACTTCAGCCAGCGGGCCCAGCCCCACCTCTCCACACAGCTACAGCCCAGACAGGACTTCATCTGGCATCGAGACAAGCCCCACGGTTCAGGCGGTGGCTCCGGCAAGTCCATTCTCGTCTGCTGTCCCCACTTCGTACTCCTATCTTGTGCAGCCGGCTGCCCCTACAGTAACACTGCCAGGCCAGGCATCTCCATCTCCCATCTCTCCTAAATTCGGAGCTAGGACTCTTTCTTCAGAATGGGCCACCCAGCCCACTTCTGTGCAACCACCGAAGTTTGTTTACCCAGGTTATAGCAAAACATCCTCGTCACTATCATCGACACCATCCACCACCACTACCATGGCATCGATATCCACATCACCATCTTTATCGGCCCCAGCATCAGAACCAGCACAGTCCCTCAGTACGAGGACTTCCACCTCATTGTCCCCCTCACAGACTGTCGTTTCTCCAGTGGTGCTACAAGGAACTAGAACGACACCCAGCTCAAATGTATCCTCTGTCACAGCTGGACCCTCTTCAAGTCCGCCTGATGCAGCAGCAACTCTCAAGAGGTTTCCACCCCACTCCGTGCCCCTGGAGACCCCAGATGAGAGTCCAGACTCTAATCAACAGGAGTTGAGGGATGGAAGCCTCTCACCGCAGCCTTACCCTGTAGAGGTAAGTCTGACACCTTTTGTTACTCTCTTCTTATGTGTTTGTGACACTTTCTGTTACTCTCTTCTTATATGTCTGTGACACTTTCTGTTACTCTCTTCTTATATGTCTGTGACACTTTCTATCACTCTCTTCAATGTGTCTGTGGCACCTTCTGTGACTCTCTTCCCTGTGTTTGTGAAACCTTCTGTAACTCTCTTCCATGTCTTTGAAACCTTCTGTGACTATCTTCCATGTTTGTGAAACCTTCTGTGACTCTCTTCCATGTCTGTGAAACCTTCTGTAACTCTCTTCCATGTCTGTGAAACCTTCTGTGACTCTCTTTCATGTCTGTGAAACCTTCTGTGACTCTCTTCCATGTGTCTATGGAACCTTCTGTGACTCTCTTCCATGTCTGTGAAACCTTCTGTCACTCTCTTCCATGTCTGTGGAACCTTCTGTCACTCTCTTCCATGTCTGTGAAACCTTCTGTCACTCTCTTCCATGTCTGTGAAACCTTCTGTCACTCTCTTCCATGTGTTTGTGAAACCTTCTGTCACTCTATTCCATGTCTGTGAAACCTTCTGTGACTCTTCCATGTGTTTGTGAAACTTTCTGTGACTCTCTTCCATGTTTGTGAAACCTTCTGTAACTCTTCCATGTCTGTGAAACCTTCTGTAACTCTCTTCCATGTCTGTGAAACCTTCTGTGACTCTCTTCTATGTCTGTGAAACCTTCTGTGACTCTCTTCCATGTTTGTGAAACCTTCTGTAACTCTCTTCCATGTTTGTGAAACCTTCTGTGACTCTCTTCCATGTGTTTGTGAAACCTTCTATGACTCCCTTCCATGTCTGTGAAACCTTCTGTGACTCTCTTCCATGTGTCTGTGAAACCTTCTGTGACTCTCTTCCATGTGTCTGTGAAACCTTCTGTGACTCTCTTCCATGTTTGTGAAACCTTCTGTGACTCTCTTCCATGTGTTTGTGAAACCTTCTGTCACTCTATTCCATGTCTGTGAAACCTTCTGTGACTCTTGCATGTGTCTGTGAAACCTTCTGTGACTCTCTTCCATGTGTTTGTGAAACCTTCTATGACTCTCTTCCATGTGTTTGTAAAACCTTCTGTGACTCTCTTCCATGTGTCTGTGAAACCTTCTGTGACTCTCTTCCATGTGTTTGTGAAACCTTCTGTCACTCTATTCCATGTCTGTGAAACCTTCTGTGACTCTTGCATGTGTCTGTGAAACCTTTTGTGACTCTCTTCAATGTGTTTGTGAAACCTTCTGTGACTCTCTTCCATGTTTGTGAAACCTTCTGTGAGTCTGTGACTCTCTTCCATGTCTGTGAAACCTTCTGTGACTCTCTTCCATGTGTTTGTGAAACCTTCTGTGACTCTTTTCCATGTCTGTGAAACCTTCTGTGACTCTCTTCCATGTCTGTGACACCTTCTGTCACTCTCTTCAATGTGTCTGTGAAACCTTCTGTGACTCTCTTCCATGTGTTTGTGAATCCTTCTGTGACTCTCTTCTATGTGTCTGTGGAACCTTCTGTGACTCTCTTCTATGTGTCTGTGGAACCTTCTGTGACTCTCTTCTATGTGTCTGTGGAACCTTCTGTGACTCTCTTGCATGTGTCTGTGAAACCTTCTGTGACTCTCTTCTATGTGTCTGTGAAACCTTCTGTAACTCTCTTGCATGTGTCTGTGAAACCTTCTGTAACTCTCTTGCATGTGTCTGTGAAACCTTCTGTGACTCTCTTCCATGTGTCTGAAACCTTCTGTGACTCCCTTCCATGTGTCTGTGGAACCTTCTGTGACTCTCTTCCATGTGTCTGTGAAACCTTCTGTGACTCTCTTCTATGTGTCTGTGAAACCTTCTGTGACTCTCTTCCATGTGTCTGTGAAACCTTCTGTGACTCTCTTGCATGTGTCTGTGAAACCTTCTGTGACTCTCTTCTATGTGTCTGTTGAAGCTTCTGTGACTCTCTTGCATGTGTCTGTGAAACCTTCTGTGACTCTTGCATGTGTCTGTGACACCTTCTGTGACTCTCTTGCATGTGTCTGTGAAACCTTCTGTGACTCTCTTTTATGTGTCTGTGAAACCTTCTGTGACTCTCTTCCATGTGTCTGTGGAACCTTCTGTGACTCTCTTGCATGTGTCTGTGAAACCTTCTGTGACTCTTGCATGTGTCTGTGAAACCTTCTGTGACTCTCTTCCATGTGTCTGTGAAACCTTCTGTGAATCTCTTCCATGTGTCTTTGAAACCTTCTGTGACTCTCTTCCATGTGTCTGTGAAACCTGTGACTCTTCCATGTCTGTGAAACCTTCTGTGACTCTTACATGTGTCTGTGATACCTTCTGTGACTCTCTTCCACGTGTCTGTGAAACCTTCTGTGACTCTCTTCCATGTGTCTGTGACACCTTCTGTGACTCTCTTCTATATGTCTGTGAAACCTTCTGTGACTCTCTTCCATGTGTCTGTGACACCTTCTGTGACTCTTCCATGTGTCTGTGAAACCTTCTGTGACTCTCTTCTATGTGTCTGTGACACCTTCTGTGACTCTCTTCCATGTGTCTGTGACACCTTCTGTGACTCTCTTCCATGTGTCTGTGAAACCTTCTGTGACTCTCTTCCATGTGTCTGTGAAACCTTCTGTGACTTTTCCATGTGTCTGTGACACCTGTGACTCTTCCATGTGTCTGTGACTCTTCCATATGTCTGTGACACCTTCTGTGACTCTTCCATATGTCTGTGACACCTTCTGTGACTCTTCCATATGTCTGTGACACCTTCTGTGACTCTTCCATATGTCTGTGACACCTTTTGTGACTCTCTTCCATGTGTCTGTGACACCTTCTGTGACTCTTCCATGTGTCTGTGACACCTTCTGTGACTCTTCCATATGTCTATGACACCTTCTGTGACTCTCTTCCATATGTCTGTGACATCTTCTGTGACTCTTCCATGTGTCTGTGGCACCTTCTGTGACTCTCTTCCATGTGTCTGTGACACTTTCTGTGACTCTTCCATGTCTGTGACACCTTCAGTGACTCTCTTCCATGTCTGTGACTCTTCCATGTGTCTGACACCTTCTGTGACTCTTCCATATGTCTGTGGCACCTTCTGTGACTCTTCCATGTGTCTGTGACACCTTCTGTGACTCTTTCATGTGTCTGTGACACCTTCTGTGACTCTTCCATATCTGTGGCACCTTCTGTGACTCTTCCATATGTCTGTGACACCTTCTGTGACTGTTCCATATCTGTGACACCTTTTGTGACTCTTCCAAATGTCTGTGACACCTTCTGTGACTCTTCCATATCTGTGGCACCTTCTGTGACTCTCTTCCATGTGTCTGTGACACTTTCTGTGACTCTCTTCTATGTCTGTGACACTTTCTGTGACTCTCTTTCATATCTGTGGCACCTTCTGTGACTCTTCCGTGTCTGTAACTCTCTTCCATGTGTCTGTGAAACCTTCTGTGACTCTCTTCCATGTGTCTGTGAAACCTTCTGTGACTCTCTTCCATGTGTCTGTGAAACCTTCTGTGACTCTCTTTCATGTCTGTGAAACCTTCTGTGACTCTCTTCCATGTGTCTATGAAACCTTCTGTGACTCTCTTCCATGTGTCTGTGAAAACTTCTGTGACTCTCTTCCATGTTTGTGACACCTACAGTGTTTGTCCTGTCTGTCTAGTCTTGACTAGTGTTTGTCCTGCCTGCCTGTGTGGTTCGACTACAGTTTTTGTCCTGCCTGTCTCTGTCTAGTCTAACTACAGTTGTTGTCCTGCCTGTCTGTCTAGTCTTGATACAGTGTTTTTCATACCTGTCTGTCCAGTCTAACTGGTCTGTTCTGGTAGTCTTAGTTTCAGCTTCATAGCAAACGGCTCACCCTATCTTTGCTGCGCTCCTGTGCCAACGAAAAAAAAACCAGACAGAATGTTTATCACAGTCCCTTGTGAAAAGATTGACAGACTGCTGTCTCAGCATATCTAGCATACACACTCATTAAAGCATACAGTAGCCATCCGAAGTGCTAACACAAACAGTCTGACATTAGAAATCAGTTCATCATTGATGGTAGCAGAAGTCACCAACAGATCAGCAGTTGTCCACGGGATCAATTTTAATCACATACGGGCATCACCAACATTGCAACAACAGGCAACGCGCCATTTTCTGAATCTACAATTCACTTAGTCTAACTACAGTGTTTGTCATACCTGTCTGTCCAGTCTAAAATCAGTGTTTGTCCTTTCTGTCTGACTGGTCTAACTACATTGTTTGTCCTGCCTGTCTTGTCATGTCTGTCTGGTATAAGTGCAGTGTTTGTCCTGCCTGTCTGTCTAGTCTAACTACTGTGTATGTCCTCCTGCCTGTGCTCTCCGGTCTAACTACATTGTCCTGCCTGTCTGTTCTAATTACAGTGTTTGTCATGTCTGTCTGTCTGGTATAAGTGCAGTGGTTGTCCTGCCTATCTGCCTAGTATAACTATGCTCTGGTCTGACTACAGTGTTTGTCCTGCCTGTGCTCTTTGGTCTGACTACAGTGTTTGTCCTGCTATCACTGTCTGGTCTAACTACAGTGTTTGTCCTGCCTGTGCTCTTTGGTCTGACTACAGTGTTTGTCCTGCCTGTGCTCTTTGGTCTGACTACAGTGTTTGGTCTGTCTGGTCTACAGTGTCCTGCCTGTCTCTGTACAGTGTTTGTCTTGTCCTTTTGGTCTAACTACAGTGCCTGTCTGTCTGGTCTAACTACAGTGTTTGTCCTGCCTGTCTGTCTAGTCTACCGTGTATGTCCTGCCTGTGCTGTCTGGTCTAACTACAGTGTTTGGCCTGCCTGTATGTCTAGTCTAACTACAGTGTTTGTCCTCTCTGTGTAGTCAAACTACTAGTGTTTGTCCTGTGTAGATATAGAGTTTGTCCTTTCTGTCTAGTCTAACCACAGCGTTTGTCCTTTCTGTCTAGTCTAACCAAAGTGTTTGTCCTTTCTGTCTAGTCTAACCAAAGTGTTTGTCCTTTCTGTCTAGTCTAACCAAAGCAGTGTTTGTCCTTTCTGTCTAGTCTAACCAAAGTGTTTTTCCTTTCTGTCTAGTTTAACCAAAGTGTTTTTCCTTTCTGTCTAGTCTAACCAAAGTATAGCTAGCATTTGTCCTCGCTGTTTAGTATAGCTAGCGTTTGACCTCTCTGTCTGTTATAACTAGTGTTTGTTCTCTCTGTCTAGTATAGCTAGCGTTTGTCCTCTCTGTCTAGTATAGCTAGCGTTTGTCCTCTCTGTCTGTTATAACTGGTGTTTGTCCTCTCTGTCTAGTATAACCAGTGTTTGTCCTCTCTGTCTAGTATAGCTAGCGTTTGTCCTCTCTGTCTGTTATAACTAGTGTTTGTCCTCTCTGTCTAGTATAACTAGTGTTTGTCCTCTCTGTCTAGTAGAACTAGTGTTTGTCCTCTGTCTAGTATAACTAGTGTTTGTCCTCTCTGTCTAGTAGAACTAGTGTTTGTCCTCTCTGTCTAGTAGAACTAGTGTTTGTCCTCTCTGTCTAGTATAACTAGTGTTTGTCCTCTCTGTCTAGTAGAACTAGTGTTTGTCCTCTCTGTCTAGTAGAACTAGTGTTTGTCCTCTCTGTCTAGTAGAACTAGTGTTTGTCCTCTGTCTAGTATAACTAGTGTTTGACCTCTCTGTCTAGTATAACTAGTGTTTGTCCTCTCTGTCTAGTATAACTAGTGTTTGTCCTCTCTGTCTAGTCTAACTACAATGTTTGTCCTCTCTCTTTCTAGGCTAACTACAATGTTTGTCCTCTTTCTCTCTAGGCTAAATTCAATGTTTGTCTGCTTTCTCTCTAGGCTAACTACAATATTTGTCCTCTCTCTCTAGGCTAACTACAATGTTTGTCCTGTCTCAATATAGAGTTTGTCCTCTTTCTAGTCTAACTACAGTGTTTGTCCTCTCTGTCTGCCAGGACGTAGTCATTGTGAAAGCTGGAGGTCCTCTGGGACTCAGTATAGTGGGTGGAGTGGACCACTCGAGCCAGCCTTTTGGTGGGGACCAGCCAGGAGTCTTTGTGTCCAAGGTGAGCAGCCTTTTTGTGACAGGACATCTTGTGGCAGTCATTGAGTGGATTGGTGGGATGTTGAGTGGCTGTCAGAGAGAGAGAGAGAGAGAGAGAGAGAGAGAGAGAGAGAGAGAGAGAGAGAGAGAGAGAGAGAGAGAGAGAGAGAGAGATTAAGGGGTGGGTGGGGGGGGGGGAGGCAGATTGAGAGAAAGAAGAAAATTTCACATGTCTGAATTATTATGAACCTGTCTTTAGTTATTTGAGCCTATGCCTGGGGGGGGGGGGGGGGGGGGGGGGGGGGCATTTAAAAATGCATTTGTTAGAAAAAATATATATTTCTACTCTTGTCAGATTTCGACAAGAGAACAGATTGTAAAAAAAATTGCAAGATTGGTGGCTAAATGTGTAGGGAAGAGCAGGGGTTAGTGCCCCTGGTAGGTGGTTACTTACAAATATTGTTAAACATGGGATCTGGCAGGAAGTAAGTCTGCAGCCTTTTCTGACCACTGGTCACTCAGTTATCATCCTCCACGTGACTTTGTTTGTCACTTGTGCATCACAGATGGCATTTCTCCCCATTCCTGTTGCCTTTCTCCTCACTGTAGTAGTCAGAGCCACCTTCTGGGCTCACAGCTTACCACAAACACCAGTTTTCCCATTTACTTGCTATATTTTCCTCTCAGTCAAGTAACATCAGCCTCGTTATATTCCTCTCAGGGAAGTTACATGTAACTGTTATATTCCTCTCAGTGAAGTTACGTGTAACTTTTATATTCCTCTCTGTGCAGTTACATGTAGCTTTTGTATTCCTTTCTGTGAAGTTCCATGTACTCTCAATAAGGTTACATGTAACTGTTATATTCCTCTCAGTGAAGCTACATCTTTATATGTTGGTGAAGTTACATCTAACTTCCTTATATCCAGCACACCAGCAACAGACTTGCCAGTTTGCCAGTGATTGCTACCGTGCTGGCTTATCTCACAGCCACTTTCTGGTACCTGGCACCTGGCGCTTCCTGTGTTAAAGATAAACCATGTAGTACACAACCTTTCCAGCTGCTGTCCTCTGTTACCCATTTATTCCCACATGTGGAACATATAGCATAGTTTTTATGATATAGTGGACATATGTTATGTATGTATCCAGTCATTGATGTGATAGTGTTATATATATATGTTTTTTTTTATCGAGTCATTGATGTGATGGCGTTGGATATATGTTGTGTCTGTATCCAGCCATTGATGTGATAGTGTTATATATATATATGTTGTTTTTGTATCAAGTCATTGGTGTGATGGTGCTGGATATTTGTTGTGTCTGTATCCAGCCATTGATGTGACAGTGGTGGATATATGTTTCTGTATCTGGTCATTGATGTAACGGTGCTGGATATATGTTGTTTCTGTATCCAGTCATTGTTGTGATGGTGTTGGATATTTGTTGTCTGTATCCAGTCATAGATATGATGGTGGAGGCTATATGTTGTTTGTGTATCCAGTCATTGATGTGACAGTATTGTTTCTGTAACCAGTCATTGATGTAACAGTATTGTTTCTGTACCCAGTCGTTGATGTAACAGTATTGTTTCTGTACCCAGTCATTGATGTAACAGTATTGTTTCTGTACCTAGTCATTGATGTGACAGTATTGTTTCTGTACCCAGTTGTTGATGTGACAGTATTGTTTCTGTACCCAGTCATTGATGTGACAGTATTGTTTCTGTACCCAGTCATTGATGTAACAGTATTGTTTCTGTACCCAGTCATTGATGTAACAGTATTGTTTCTGTACCCAGTCATTGATGTAACAGTATTGTTTCTGTATCCAGTCATTGATGTGACAGTATTGTTTCTGTACCCAGTTGTTGATGTAACAGTATTGTTTCTGTACCCAGTTGTTGATGTAACAGTATTGTTTCTGTACCCAGTTGTTGATGTAACAAGTATTGTTTCTTTACCCAGTCATTGATGTAACAGTATTGTTTCTGTACCCAGTCATTGATGTGACAGTATTGTTTCTGTACCCAGTCACTGATGTAACAGTATTGTTTCTGTACTCAGTCATTGATGTAACAGTATTGTTTGTGTACCCAGTCATTGATGTAACAGTATTGTTTCTGTACCCAGTCATTTATGTAACAGTATTGTTTCTGTATCCAGTCATTGATGTAACAGTATTGTTTCTGTACCCAGTTGTTGATGTAACAGTATTGTTTCTGTATCCAGTCATTGATGTAACAGTATTGTTTCTGTACCCAGTGGTTGATGTAACAGTATTGTTTCTGTACCCAGTCATTGATGTGACAGTATTGTTTCCGTACCCAGTCATTGATGTAACAGTATTGTTTCTGTACCCAGTCATTGATGTAACAGTATTGTTTCCGTACCCAGTCATTGATGTAACAGTATTGTTTCTGTACCCAGTCATTGATGTAACAGTATTGTTTCTGTACCCAGTCATTGATGTGACAGTATTGTTTCTGTACCCAGTCATTGATGTGACAGTATTGTTTCTGTACCCAGTCATTGATGTAACAGTGGTGAATATATGTTGTTTCTATAATGTGGTGGTTGTCTGTTGTTTGCTGTTCACAGATATTAATGTAACAGTATTGGATATGTGTTGTTTCTGTAACTCTGGTTATATGTTTTTTTTTTATCCAGTCAATGATGTGACTTTGGTAATATGTGTTGTTTCTGTAACTGTGGTGGTTATATGCTGTTTCTGTATCCAGTCATTGATGTAACAGTGGTAATTTTGTTTCTGTAACTTTGGTAGTTATATGTTGTTTCTGTAGCTTGGGGGTTATATGTTGGGGGCTGTATCCAGTCATTTATGCAACTCGCTTGTATCCAGTCATTGATGCCACTTGTTTGTATCCACTCATTGATGCGACTTGTTTGTATCCACAGATTGTTAAAGATGGTGCAGCATCAAAAACAAATCTTAGAATAGGGGACAGAATTCTGTCTGTAAGTTGCTGTCAGTGTGTCTGTCAGCCTGTTTGACTGTTGTCATGTTATTGTGTTTGTCAGTTGCCTTGTCAGTGTGTCTGTTGATCTCACTGACTGTTGTCATGTTATTGTGTTTGTCAGTTGCCCTGTCAGTGTGTCTGTTGATCTCACTGACTATTGTCATGTTATTGTGTTTGTCAGTTGCCCTGTCAGTGTGTCTGTCAGCCTTTCATGACTGTTGTCATGTTATTGTGTTTGTCAGTTGCCCTATCAGTGTGTCTGTCTGACTGTCTGACTATTGTCATGTTACTGTATTTGTCAGTTTCCCTGTCAGTGTGTCTGTTGATCTGACTGACTATTGTCATGTTACTGTATTTTGTCAGTTGCCCTGTCAGTATTTATGTCGGTCAAGGCACTTGTTGATTGCTGGCCAGGATTTGACATCAGGGTTGCTGTAGAAGTCCTTATATTGTGAGGATCCGTAATTGTTTGTTTGTCTCTTGTGATGTGCAACAACTCAGATGAGCAGCTGTTCATTACTTGCATTCAACTGACAGTCCTGCAGACTTGTCCTCTTCTGTCTACCATCGGCAAGTGTGTGTCTGATCAAGTCTGAAACAGTAAAATCTAGGCTCAATGTCTGTTGTTGAAACAGTAAAATGTTTGCTCGTCTATTGTTGAAACAGTAAAATGTCTGATCAAGTCTTTTGAAACAGTAAAATGTATGCTCAAGTCTGTTGTTGAAACAGTAAAATGTCTGCTGAAGTCTGTTGCTGAAACAGCGAAATGTCTGCTGAAGTCTGTGATATCTTTCAGGTCAACAACAAAGATCTCCGGCACGCCACACATCAGGAAGCTGTCATGGCACTGATTACTCCAACATACGAGATCCACCTCAAGGTCCGGCACGACCCTCCACCTCCGGGACTACAGGTCTGTTACAGCACATTTGTGATCTCAGCTTTGTTGTCCAGAAGTTTGAGCTGCAAGGGGCCAGTTTGTTTATGCAAGCTACTAGTTTTCCCTTGCCTGGACTCTTGGTTCTTACAGTCAACATTATAGCACTCTAGGCAGACCAGTAGATGCTCTGTCTCTCTCAGCACATACCAGGTTTAAATAGCTTATTCTGGTGACATTTTATGGCAAGCATATTTTATGTGTCATTTTGTACACCCCATGAAGTGATGGATTGTTGTAATCTGGCACTGGTAGGTGACCAAAGTTCATTATGGCAATCAGGGACAGGCATGGAAACATGCAGATATTTGTTTATATTGAGAATATCATTTGTGTATATGTGTGTGAAGGGGGCTGGAAACCAGTGCTGTGATGGATGTCCCTGTGTGTGTTCCGGGGCCCCATTATGGGGGAGTTGTCTAATTTGGAGCATCCTCCGAGTACATCTGCCTGAGAGGCAGGTAACCAAGCGTCTTCTTCTTATTCTTTCTCTTGACCTGAAATGCCATTCAGCTTCAGGGCATGAAGAGATCTCTGGGACAGGCTCTTGTGTTCGCTTCATATAAAATATCTCTCTCTTTTCTCTGATATTTCTGTGGTCCGTATTCTGTGTGGTCAACTTGTGGATCTGTTACCCTTCTTTGTGTATATAACATGGCTCTCTATGGTGCCCTGTCTGCTGCAGTTCTTGTTGCATGGCCAAACCGTTTGATTTGTCTGCCTATAAAATTCAGTATTGGTTCTGTGCCGACTTTCCTCCTGCTCTCATCGTTCCTAAGTTGATCTTTCCTCGTTACTCCTAGCATAGTATGTAAACATTTCATTTCTGTTGTGACTGTTTTCTTTCTGTCTTCTGAAGACCTCAGAATTTGACATTGAAAGCATATCATTGATAATAATATTGTGTTGAACAGTGTGCTTTTAGTTAACCAACAGTCTGCATTAAAATAAGCCAATTTGTAAAACGGATGTGCACACAACACTTACATGCCCACAGAACAGCAGGTAGTGTCTGCTTCACTGGGACCTCATCTAGTTGGGCCTGAAGACTGGTCTCATGCCCACAGAACAGCAGGTAGTGTCTGCTTCACTGGGACCTCATCTAGTTGGGCCTGAAGACTGGTCTCATGCCCACAGAACAGCAGGTAGTGTCTGCTTCACTGGGACCTCATCTAGTTGGGCCTGAAGACTGGTCTCATGCCCACAGAACAGCAGGTAGTGTCTGCTTCACTGGGACCTCATCAAGTTGGGCCTGAAGACTGGTCTTATGCCCACAGAACAGCAGGTAGTGTCTGCTTCACTGGGACCTCATCTAGTTGGACCTGAAGTCTGGTCTCATGCCCACAGAACAGCAGGTAGTGGCTGCTTCACAGGGACCTCATCTAGTTGGGCCTGAAGACTGGTCTTATGCCCACAAAACGGCAGCTACTCTGCTGCATTCTGACTGGCCTGTGACACTGACAGCTTTATCTGTTCACCTCTTGTCACCAGCTGCTCTCTCACTAGTGACTCAGTATTGTTGATTAGTACAGAATGATTCATTTCCTTATTGAGGTAATGAACAGAAGGGATTGTTTCTATTTTATTTTTTTGATTAGTTAATGGTCAGTAGTTGATGACTGTTTTCATGTCTTTCAGGAGTTAGTCATTGTCAAAGATGCAGGTGAAAAACTGGGTCTGTCAATCAAGGGTGGAGCTAAAAATCTGACAGCTCCAGACAAGAGTGATGAGGGTATCTTTATATCCAGGGTGAGTTTTTTCATACCACAGTGGATAACATTAGAGAGATAATCACACCACAAGATAACAGCAGAGAGATAATCACACCACAAGATAACATTAGAGAGATAATCACACCACAAGATAACATTAGAGAGGTGGTCACACCACAAGATAACATTAGAGAGATAATCACACCACAAGATAACATTAGAGATGTGGTCACACCACAAGATAACATTAGAGAGATAATCACACCACAAGATAACATTAGAGAGATAATCACACCACAAGATAACATTAGAGAGGTGGTCACACCACAAGATAACATTAGAGAGATAATCACACCACAAGATAACATTAGAGAGGTGGTCACACCACAAGATAACAGCAGAGAGATAATCACACCACAAGATAACATTAGAGATGTGGTCACACCACAAGATAACAGCAGAGAGATAATCACACCACAAGATAACATTAGAGATGTGGTCACACCACAAGATAACAGCAGAGAGATAATCACACCACAAGATAACATTAGAGAGGTGGTCACACCACAAGATAACATTAGAGATGTGGTCACACCACAAGATAACAGAGAGGTGGTCACACCACAAGATAACAGAGAGGTGGTCACACCACAAGATAACATTAGAGATGTGGTCACACCACAAGATAACAGAGATGTGGTCACACCACAAGATAACATTAGAGATGTGGTCACACCACAAGATAACAGAGAGGTGGTCACACCACAATAGATAACATTAGAGATGTGGTCACACCACAAGATAACAGCAGAGAGATAATCACACCACAAGATAACATTAGAGATGTGGTCACACCACAAGATAACATTAGAGAGATAATCACACCACAAGATAACATTAGAGAGATAATCACACCACAAGATAACATTAGAGAGATAATCACACCACAATAGATAACATTAGAGATGTGGTCACACCACAAGATAACATTAGAGATGTGGTCACACCACAAGATAACAGAGATGTGGTCACACCACAAGATAACATTAGAGATGTGGTCACACCACAAGATAACAGAGAGGTGGTCACACCACAATAGATAACATTAGAGATGTGGTCACACCACAAGATAACAGCAGAGAGATAATCACACCACAAGATAACATTAGAGATGTGGTCACACCACAAGATAACATTAGAGAGATAATCACACCACAAGATAACATTAGAGAGATAATCACACCACAAGATAACATTAGAGAGATAATCACACCACAATAGATAACATTAGAGATGTGGTCACACCACAAGATAACAGCAGAGAGATAATCACACCACAAGATAACATTAGAGATGTGGTCACACCACAAGATAACAGAGAGGTGGTCACACCACAAGATAACAGAGAGGTGGTCACACCACAAGATAACATTAGAGATGTGGTCACACCACAAGATAACAGAGATGTGGTCACACCACAAGATAACATTAGAGATGTGGTCACACCCACAAGATAACAGAGAGGTGGCGTCACACCACAATAGATAACATTAGAGATGTGGTCACACCACAAGATAACAGCAGAGAGATAATCACACCACAAGATAACATTAGAGAGGTGGTCACACCACAAGATAACATTAGAGATGTGGTCACACCACAAGATAACATTAGAGATGTGGTCACACCACAAGATAACAGAGAGGTGGTCACACCACAAGATAACAGCAGAGAGATAATCACACCACAAGATAACATTAGAGATGTGGTCACACCACAAGATAACAGAGAGGTGGTCACACCACAAGATAACAGAGAGGTGGTCACACCACAAGATAACATTAGAGATGTGGTCACACCACAAGATAACAGAGATGTGGTCACACCACAAGATAACATTAGAGATGTGGTCACACCACAAGATAACAGAGAGGTGGTCACACCACAATAGATAACATTAGAGAGGTGGTCACACCACAATAGATAACATTAGAGATGTGGTCACACCATAATAGATAACATTAGAGAGGTGGTCACACCACAATAAATAACATTAGAGAGGTAGTCACACCACAATAGATAACATTAGAGAGGTGGTCACACCATAATAGATAACATTAGGGAGGTGGTTGTACGACAGTGGAGAGTTGGTGAAATTTTTACTACCAAGATGACTCCTCATACTACAATGGGCAACATGAGAGACTAGATCTTGTGTGCAGTTTGTTCAGACAATTGACAATATTAGAGAGATTGTCTTGTGTGTGCTGTTTGATCATATCATGACATAAATAACCTGTAGTTTCCCAGGACACATCACACAATTGAGCTTAGTTAAAGAGAATAATTTTGAGCAGGGAGCAGTGAAGTAACACAGACAACTTTATATCATACCTTTTTGTGTGGAATTAACAAATGGTGATGATGATGACAGTGATGAGTGGCAAGGAGCAGACAACACTGATAGTGTGGCAGAGACACGGGTAGATTGTGTCTGTAGTCTCATATAGCACCTGTTTGTGAGCTGAGACTTATATACTCTCCTGTGATTCT